AAACGTGCTTTCAGTTCTTTTCGTTCTAAACTTGCTAAACTAAGAGTTCACAAAAACTCCGGATTAACAGACCCTGTAGTGGATCAATTGAGGGGAGAGAGTGGGAACAGAAGGGTTGCGCTCACTAGCACAATGCCACCTCTCAAAGTTGGATTTTGCCGATGGATCGGCTTTATTTTCCTGGCCGATTTACAAACGCCATCGCAAAATGACGCGCTATACAACGTATACAATTATGTAGACATACAAAATCGGATACTGTTATACGGTGCCTGGAATCGAAAGCGACGGGCATCGGTGGTGCTTCGAGGTATACATATTCAGCTGCAGTACGAGCTCGTGGGATGAAAGGAGACACACTGTCTGGAAGCTGTCTTCACCACACTGTTTGCCTGATAGTAAGACGCACCGCATTGAAAGTAGTCAGTCCCTGACGTTTATCTAGACGTAGACAGATCAAAATTTTGGGTTATGCACGTTAACTTGTATATCACCGTAATGTTTTATATATATCTACGTGTCCTGCAAGCCGCAACAGCGTGATGCGAATCAGATCTGACTTTAAATGAATGACGCAGGTAACTGGGTTTTGGCTTCAATTTGCCTTCTAGCCAAAGCTGTGATGTTGCTTCATTTATTGCCACCTTTGCATGCCTCCACGTATAGCTGAACACACATTTCCCAGCCCTTCTCGCTCTATCACGAAAAGCAGCGACAGCAGTTAGAGTCAAAATTCCGGGACGGTAGTACATGTAACTAACTTGCACACCAGCAAGCGGTCATTGCGCCTGGTGTTCGGATATTGTCCGGATAATAGATGTGACTAATGGCTTCATCCGGACGATAAAGCCGAATTATTTTGCCGATTCTGCCGATCGGCAAAAACCTACCCTGCTTCAAGGAGAGGTGACCTCTCCTTGAAATTGACATAAAGTGTAAAATGCGTCTGTTCGCAGACGCGTGGCTATGTTATGATAGTTCGCTCCTGTTGCCGACAACAAGCGTTCTGGCTCTGCTAGTGGTGTTCCTGTCCTGGTTGTGCAACATTGGTTACCCCTTTATAATTGTTATCGTGATGTTTGTAAACACGATTACGTATACAAGTACTAAGTATGTGCAAGCATTGACGTCGAAGATTGAAGACATGACGTCAATACGTCTGCCACTGGTTGGTCTGGCAAAGCCGGACTTAGATTTCAACACATCGGTAGTCACTTCCATGAACCAAGAAACCTCTATACATTAAGTGTATATAAGGTTCTCTCAGAAACGGATGCCATGGTAGCCAAGTTGCGAAAAGAGGAGGCGGTGGCAACAATATGTCGCCCAAAAAACCTTGAGAATTCCAAGAGAGGCTAATTCAACCAAGATCAAACAAGGGACGGATATGGGTACATGTAAGGCCGCGTCTTACGGTTAAAGCGAGGCATCACCAATACTTCGACGTGTCCAGCTTCATCTAAGGAAAAATACGGCATCACCTCAATTAAATAAGCTGGTTAATCCGGGGCAGCATTGAATTGGGACAAAACATATGGAGTACGAGATCATGGACGACAATGATGCATTATTACGTACATTTCCTTAAAAAAAAAAAAAAGGGGTCCCTTCTCAGGGCATAATCATTTGTTTGAGATAAAAAATAGTTGTATCTTAGCTTGTCCGCCGTGGTTGCCGTCATTCTTCACCGGCGGCAACCAAGACTAGTTTTAATATCCCCACCAATAAAACAGCTATTGGTACGGCCTTGCGGTACGGAACAGCCCCGCTTGTAGAGCAGTTATGACTTCGGAATATTGAGCAGTGCTCAGTGAGCAGAACACACGACAGCAAAGCAGAAGTAGATAGAAAAGGACTGATGATCTGCAGATATCGTCAGGTCATGGGCACGAAATTTTGTGACCGCGACCAATGTAATTCCCTGGTACTTACGGACTGCAGAGTTTGCAGGCTGATCATTTCGAAAATCTCGCCCTTCTCAACATCCGACTTCCTCAAGCTTTCAAAATGAAAGTCTTGGTCGTCATTACTGCCCTCGCCACTCTGCTGATGCCCACGTAAGTGCTTGTTGATATCTGGGCCCACATCCCGTCTTTTTACCTTCCTCTGCCATCAGCCACGGTGCTCTCAGACAGTGTGCCGGAACAGACAATGACTACGCATATGAGCGCTCTGGCTCCATGACCGCTGACTTCACCCAGAAGGCATGTGCTGCATCAGGCGGCTCGATTGATCCTAGCAGGAAGGGTAACCAGAAGTGCTGCAATGTTCCCGATGCCCGTCAAGGCGAGTTTAACAGCTACTGCTTTGAACAAAAGGCTGGAAACCCGAATTACCGCCCCACGGCCCAGTCGTGCTAGATGAAAACATGTGGAATGTTTGGGTGACCGTACATCTGTACATACCAGCAGATGCCTCACACGAAGTGGTGAATTTTGAGGCTGTAGATAATCCCTATTGCGCAGTGGCTACCTCAATAATAAATTATTTTCGGGTTGAAGATCGTGATTTCGCATAACGATCGCTTATTCTGCTGCCAAATCATGGCAAATAAGGATATACCTTTCATCTCGTGTTGAACGAATGGACCAATCTAGCTACTATACATCGTCTCGACTATTAAGACCGACTTCTTTTAGTATGTTAATAGATAAGCCAAATCCACTGATCTCGACTGGGCACACTGTTAATGTGACAATGCCGTGGTCCTGCCTTCATGTTATTCTGGATTGTACATGTATTCAAATCTAGTTAATTACCTAGTTTTTTTACACGTTTGGAACCACTTGTCAATACGTTAAACATTCTACGGGTGACGTCCATTAACAGCCAAGGTGTCGAGTCTGAATTGAATGTCCGGGTCGGACATTAGAGAACTTTAGGTTCTGGAATAACTGAAGTTTTGGAGAATCGCCCAATAATATGCGTTTTAAATGCCGTACAAAACTAGTCGAATCGTCGACGAATCTCAATTATCAGTTAACATTTAGAAATAAGTAGGAAAACGTCAATCAACTCTTCATGCCGGTACTACAGTTCGCAAAAACCAATTACTGGCGAAGAGACGGATAACGAGACGAGCATACTCCACCAATGAAGTCAAACTCCTTTCTTCCAAGCTATGACTTCATGGGTTAAACTCCGTTCCATTTAATTGTAAGTTGTATAGCTTCATGAGTGTACGTAGACATTGAATCAGTACGCTATTTTTACCCGCATAAATACATCCTCAACATCATGCACGTCAGGCATGCTGGGTTCCTTCTCTACCAGAATGGTACGCGCGCCCGTGAGACTCGTTTGCCGGTTTAACCGAACGATATTCAATTCCTTCCATATAATATCCGGTTAGGTTATCACGGATGGGTAAAGAAACACTTCGCGATTTTTGTACTTTATCGTTATAGGGGCTGGTAGTACGAGATATAAACATTATAGGCAAGTTTTTTGTGAAAAGGTGAATAGCAATGCAAATGCTGAGCATTCTGATGCGTTTCACATGACGAAAACAAGCTCGTTGAATGTGTACTATAGCCTTTTCATATTTCCTGTTGACTTTGCTACTACAGTTGTGCAATTTTGCCACAGGATAGACGAATCCAATGGGTTTGCCCTCATGAAAATAGATTTGTCAATGCTCCGAGGTAGAGTAAACGAAGACGACAGTTTTTCTGTTGCGCTGTCGTCGAATGATAATTGCCTCAGAATACTAGACGCATAATGTCCATGTTCAGCACAAATAGTAGCAACTAAATAAAGATATATCGAGGATTTGAATGGCTTATAGTATAGTCAAAAGGATGTAGCTTGGATTTGACTGTGATCTAGAATGACATAGTAATACCCTATTGAATACGACAAGCCAGTGGTAGAAGCTTCAATCCGGGCGACACTTTGTGGTTCGCGCGCGCTCCACCAAGCTTCGCGTCGTCATTGTATTACTGGTAGCACTTGTTGGTCCCAGCTACCTGACGTAGAGAGCCCATGGCGACGATCTCCAAGCCGACCTCGACCGACTGAACAATGTGATACCGGACCGCACGTGAGTGCCTACCAATCTGCTCAAGTTCACCGGCAAGAGGGAAGAGGGCGTTGGTGAATTGTTTTTTTAGATCAAGAACGCCTGGTGCATCAACAAATCCAGATTGAGGATGCAAGCTCACGGTCGGCAATGGAGAAGCCGGCCATGCATTGGTCGTCGACGACTCGGAGCACACGGGGGGGGGGGGACGTGAAGTGCATTGCCTAAAAGAAACAGCAAGGCACGCCGGAGAACGATCAACCACGCCAGTCAATGAGGGCCTGACGTGGCCAAGAATGTAACCAGAATATCTAAGATTGAGGATATCACCCTTACCATTCTGTGTAAAACCCCTCTTGTATACAAGTCACACCCGTTATTCTCGGTAACAATAGAGATCAACATTGGCCATCGGAGTTTTGTCACTCAGTGGGTGTTGTAATATTGCGGAGCTACGACGATCTATGTATCAAAACACTGGAACGAAAACCATCAACTCAAGGCGACGAGTTTTTGAAAACAAATCCGAGTCAAACTTGAAGACAACCAATTCGGCTGGACCTGTTCGTGACGTAGCACAATCCCCAAATATTGTTCACGAACTAGAAGAAGGCGCGCCAGCTGGCAAGGGTTCAGTAACGTATGATGATGGTATGTCATCTAGGCGCAAGGGAATGCTGAGAAATCTGACGGCGGTAGTAGTGGACGAAGGAAAGACTGCATCGCGGAGAAGATGCTCCCGATGGGTATCGTAGACGAGAGTGGTGTACAAACAAAGTACATCATGTATTTGGCCCAACTCCAAATACATAAGTAGGTAGATATCTTTCAGTTACTACATAAATAGGCATAGGAGTACACGGCTAGCCGTGTGCCAATGTGTCATCATCTGATTGGTTGATAGTGGGTGCTAGACCCACTTATTGACCAATCAGGTGTTGACCTGCATTTGAGTGGTTCACAGGAGGCCAGGGGTAACCGCCCTGGTCCAAAAAAATCAGATTTGAATTTTACACAAACCTAAGACTCGGTCTAACCGTTGCTAGCTTCCTCTAAACTACAGTGTAAGCTAGTAACGGTAACCCTAGCCACGTTATAGCACAGTCTTCCTTGGGTCCTTCTCCTGGGATTCAAGTGGTTTCTTTCACTGTGCGTTGGCGACCAACGTGATGTGTTGGATGCCGAATTCGTTGGTTTCATTGGCGATGTGCGCCCACAGTTGCTTCGGAAGAAAGAAGAACAAAAAACATTCCCGTAGGCGACTCCACGTACGCTCCCGCCGACCTCGTGACACCGAACGAACCACTGTAAAGTTCCGCAGCTTTGTCCAACTGTAGTTCGTCTAATTAAATGCAGTATAGAATTAGGTTTTGTACCGAAAGCTTATTCTGTAGGGTACAAACTTACCGGAATGTGCCTGATCGTAAACGCGCCACTCCAATCTTCTCATAGCGTCGTCGTCCTGCTGGAAAGCGTCGCTCTTGTCTTCGAACTCCACATCGGAGTCCACGTCGCTCTCGAACTCCATAAGCGCTGCTAGGACATCCATGGCTTCCTCGTTGACGCCATCGTCTTCGCCTTCATCGCGGACGACGTCCTCGCAGATATTCACGTCATCGTCGACTACGTCTCCGAACAGGCGCTTTGATCTTAGAGCAGCCATGAAACTGTCGGAGGGGCCAAAATCATTTCGGGTATCGCCGTCGTTCTTGCTCTCCTCTTCGCCTTCTGCAGGGCACTCTTCCGTATTGGTATTCACTGGCAGTGGTGATTCTGTACATAATCAAGTGAGTTAATTCTGTGTCATTATGAACAGTCTTACCTGGCTCCATGTCGTCAACAAGCGATACTGGTTCAGAACACGACACCGGTGGTGCTGGCTCCGACGCTGGCGCCGGTACCTCTGGATCCGCTACCGGCTCAGGGAGCGCAAGCCCAGACACTGGTGTTGCTGGCGATAAAAGAGGCACCAACCCAGGTGGAGTCACTCCTGCCGATTCATCGCCATGACCTGTGTCGTACGTCTCTGGCTGGGATTGGATCTCCTCGATGAGCTCTGGTGGTTGAGGAGGCGAAGTAAGGAGACAGCGATGGACGAAGCGACGCTTGCCGTGGCGGGGGGGGGGTGGAGACGTGTAGCACAGCAGCCCCGAACGTCTCGCAAACATCATCGTGTCGTTCTCGCCAACGAATCATGCATATTAGTGCATTTTCCTGTAGTTATTTTTTTAAATTACATGTACCAAAGAAATATTCTTCACCACGCTTCCAATTGTCAAGGCGCCCCTTCACGCCAGGATTTCGTACGTGTGCCTCAGCCAGGCCTTTGGGCCTTCGCGAGTCCCAGTCTGTCTTCTTCAGCTCATGCCACAACATCTTGAACGTCTTTTCGTCAGGTGCATTCATCGTAGTCAATCTGGTGCTCAAGGCTGGAAATCATGAATGGCTGAGGGAGCGTTGGGAGGTGGATGCTTGCGGATCAGTAGTTGCAGATATAATTTTCAAACCTATCATTGATTTATACTGTCTTTTCTATACATCAAGTGTAATTTCCGTCTATATCCCCGTTCAGATCCATCACGATCATTATTTGAAACCATTCCCCATACAAACTTTCATATGCGGCGATAGCATGCGCTTCAAAGCTCCTTCAATATGCTTACCTGTAATGCTGCTTATTCCGTAAAATACAGAATACGACGTTTCAAGGGTTAAGTAAACTATAGAATACAAATTTATGGGATTTGCTTTTAAAGGGTGATTAAGGTGAAAATGCCAATTCGGGGCGATTCAAACACTCTTTTCTAGTTTTACATGTATCTTTTTTTCTAGGACAAGGAAAACAACACCAAGGTGTCATCAAAAGCTGTCCATGTGATCGATTTTTCTGGCTATTTTCTGAAACATCTAACTAATGCTTCAAACCCAATACGTCCGATTAAAAAGCCTACCAAGATTGATGGTCCTGTCAATTAGGGGCCGCTTTAAGTAACGTGATTTCACTATGTGGTTCAGCCTTGTATCTTATATGGTAACTTATAATTGATCAATTTCAATTATTTAAGGCACTCGTTATTTTTTTACCGACTGAGTAACACGAGACAGTACATTGTTGCCACATCATTACCGACTGAGAAGCCCGAAAGTGCCCGACTGGGCAAGAGCCGGTAAGGCCATCACTCAATGTGTCCTCTAAAGTATACGTATAACCGGAAGTTCATCTAAGAGCCACGAGCCATAGTTTTGCAAGACATAATGCATGTACTGCTCGCAGTACCAACGCAAGACATATTGTGGTCACCAAGACGTACATATTGGTCATTTGGCGACGTGCACCCACATATGAGACGAAATGAGAGATGAAAAACATTGAAACGTGTTGAGTTAAATGTACATGCACAGGTACGGTAGCGTATGTACTACTGCAGCTCCTTTCTACTTAATAACCTAAGGCTTTCAGTGCCAGCAAAGGCCTCAAAACCTGACAGCATGTACATACCACAATTATAATTATCCACTTGCACTTCAAAATCGCTGCGGTACGGTCGAATCCAGTACTGCCTCGGAGCAAAATTGGGCAGCATTGCCACCAATTTCTCTGCGAGCAGTCGGGCTTTCACCCCATAGCTCGAGTTCATCGGGTCGTAGACAAACACTTCTTTAGCTGTCAGGTCAAGCATAATTGAACACCAGTAATTTCTTCCACAGATAACTGGGATTAAAAGGTTTTCGCCCGTCACACCTAGGAACACGCTCTTCATAGTTTCTGCTAGGAGGAAACGATTCATAACATTTCCAGCGATTGACGTATCGACTCCAATCGTGTCTGTCCTTTCGGCAAATAACTTCAACATCAACGCATTTATGATGCTGTCACCCAGGGTGGATTTGCTCACTGGTTCCAGTGCTTCTGCCTGCACATCACGATCAAGAAATACATGTGGCTCAATAAATACTAAGAGTCCACATGCTGAGTTTCTCTTACCTGAACGAACAAAAGCAAAACTGACTTGAGTTTTGATAATATATCGTGATCTTAGTCAATCTTGAAGTGTTTGGGCATTTGAAGAGTAAAATCGATGGTCTCGGGCCAGGAAATTGCCTTGTCAATATGCCGGATGTTCGTCATCGCTCCATGCCACTTTTTCATGACACCTAGAGTCGTTGTTGCGAATGTGTCTACACCAATTACATCCACAACAACCTCCCGCCTAAGTTCCTTCCACAAGAACCTTTGTGTGCCTTTTGGAGGGCTGTCACTTTTTCTTGGCACTTCTCAATAAACTGCTTCTGGGACATCCGAGTGATCGATTGGGCAGGGAGAATTTTTGCGGAAGGCAACCTTGCTATCTTGTGGACAATTGGAGCTCTGGGAGTTTTGTTGAACTCGAACAGCTCGAACTTGGAAAGAGTAGATGCCGACTTCTCGTAAGTGGGTTGGTTTTTCAACAGCTTTTGATACGATTGATAGGCTTAAACCTGATGAATACAAGTCTGAGTCAACTTGAACCATCTCGACATGTTTTCGACGTGAAGCTTTCTTCGACTTGCTCGTTTGTTTTGGACGGCCAAGAAATCTTGTTGGGCTCGCCACTTTAAAAGTGAAATCCTCGGCCATTTCCTGTGTAGAACAAGACTCTCCCGACTGAACTACAGACTCTACAGACTCTCCCAACTGAAATCCAGGTTCGCCCGACTGGACACCAGATTCGCAGACTGGTTACCTGCGTCTCCTGTCGCGCTATTTGATTCGATTAACACACTGGCCAACGGTCCCGCAGTTCCAGCAGATAGAGTCGCGTCTCCGTCGCCATCACAATATACAACCGCAATGCTGGGACTAAAAAAAAACTCATGTGTGCATGCCCGGAAGGACTGTGTCTGGTAAGATTTCAGGTAGGCCTCCAAGGCTTCCCATGTCTCGAATTGCGATGACACGCACCTGAGTGGCCTCTTCACTGGAACTACTCGTGGTCTCGGTAGTCTCGCCACGGATCTCAGTAGGTAGGGTGCTTGGTAATGGCTATAACTCGCTCACGGAGCCATCGGAAGCGCTGCTATCGCTTCCGTTGCCAATATCGTCGGCAGACAGAGGCCGCTTCGCGGCTGCGGCGACATCCTACTTCTTCAAGTGCCACGCGTTTGTTTGTTGGGGGGGGGGATTTGTGTGGCTGAAATGCAGTTGGTATACGTTGCGTACGCTATACCTGGTACGGATACGAAAAAGTCTGCAAATCGGCAACTCCCAGTCGGGAAAAATACTCACTTCTATTATTTAATCCAAAACTAGAGTCTTTCATTGGCCAACGGAACCGGCCACTAATTGTCAAGCCGGCGATTTTCCCGTACAGACGATCCCCTCGGTAGTCATAGCATTGTCAGCCACCAATTTATTTCTGTCTAAGGGTATTCCTATCATCAATGTACCACAAAAATGGATCCGAATACTCTAAGCTTGGAGCAATGCACAAAATTTACTAATGGAGACGTTTTGATGCGGCTCGTTACTGGCGTTTCACCCTGTTTTGCTTTGCTACTGCTAGTTTTGCCTCACCACACCAAGATACCCTCCTCTCTAGCCCAGCCAGTCCACCTCAGACTCACCAACACTCAACGACTGCTGGACAAATATGCTAGCACCATGCTCACATCCCTAGTTTGTCCCAAACAAAGCTAGATTAATGGGCTAGCAGAATCTACGATCTTCCCCTAGTTCCATCACAGGCAATGATCTGGTAGCTGTTAATGAGCAGAAAAGCACTGGACTCACCTCCTGTCTCGCAGTTGGCCACAAAATCGCGGCACGCGGTGATCCACCCAAAACTCGACTAGCTCCTTGCCAGTTGAGTCTCCTGGTATAAAGAGAAGGGTGTCACCGTCACGGATGAGGCAATTCGACGGAAGGCAAAACGCTTCTCCGCGATCCTAAAGCTCGAGTCACGTCCAAAGTAGTAAAAAAAAAAAAAAAAAAAAAGGCATCATCGGCTCAACATTCGGATCGTGGCAGCAACAATGCTCTTGTGCAGTTATGACTGTTTCCATAGTTAAGAACCCCAGAATAGGAGTAATTGACTTCAAATGTATTCCATTTTACGATTGAGGGGTGAGAGGGAATAATATCTTGGGTTTGTATGCAACTGGTCAACGGGAACCGCTAATTTATTGCTGTTGAGGGATTATTCCAAGTCTAGGGATTACTACCGAGGGGATCGTCTGTACTCAATTTCTGTACCATAAGAAATTTACGTCACAATTTGGAGCGCTTTGGGACCACATTAAGCCATTTATTTAACAAGTTTAGCCAAGTGCCATGTTGATCCCCGAGTTCTCGTCCCAATCTGCGGGCACGACCGACGCGCAGTGCTCTCTACTACGCCGTCTCAGCACACTCGGTTTGCTGTATGCCAAGCTGCCGCTTCGTCAGCTACGCGATTTGGCGCCGCCCGTACCCGCCTTCAACACGGAGCCGCGCGAGATGGCACTCAAGGCCTCGCTGCTGGATGGTAGAACGTTGCTGGGTCCGTTCTCGGCCGAAATGCTCGAGCCACTAGCCTCGTGGCTGGACCAAGGCATTGAAAAGGTACTAGTGGACGCCGCGTCTAGCGAAGACGCCGAACTCGAGCGTGTGGCTATCGCTGTCTCGGAGCTGCCAGCCAATCGAGTGGTGCTGCGTATTCCCGTGCCATCGCTACAGGCCCAAGACGTCTCCGAACTCGGAGAAAAGCTAGCGAGACTTGTCGACACTGCCAGCGGTGTGGTGTTCGTCATCGACTCTGTAAAACTAACGCAGGAGAGCGGGTTCGAGGCTCTGTCCACAAGCTTACAGGCGTTGAGGAAAAGTGTGGATGAAGGATACCTCTTTGCCGTCGAGATGAGTACTGGACCCGCTGCAGCTTTTAACTCCGAAGTGGCATTAACCAGGATCCAGGAGCTCCACCACAGGCACATCCACGTCGTGTCGCCTGGTTACTGCAGTGGCGATGGAGAGCAGGCTGACATGGTTACAGGAGACGGAGAGGCTGTGGTGGACGCGGCATTGTGCTTTGTCAAGTGTCTGCGTACAGATCGTCCCGACGGTCTATTTACTACAGTCGTCGCGGATGAAGCAGGTGTCGCTCTTGGACTGGTATACTCAAGTGCAGAGAGTATCGTCGCAGCTGTGTCTAGTGGCCGTGGTGTCTACTACTCTCGATCACGTGGTGGTCTCTGGAAGAAAGGAGAGAGCAGCGGCAACGCCCAGAAGCTCATTAAGATCGACATGGACTGCGATAGTGACGCACTGCGCTTCACAGTGAACCAGACGGGCGCTGGCTTCTGCCACCTCAACACGCGTACGTGCTGGGGTCACGACGGCGGTCTCCGTGCACTCGAAAGTATGCTCTTCAGTCGCCACGAGAACGCACCGGCTGGATCGTACACGAAGAGGTTGTTCGACGATGCGGAGTTGCTACGTAACAAGCTGGTGGAGGAGGCACAGGAGCTCGCAGAAGCCGAATCAATCCCAGATGTGGCTGGCGAAGCCGCTGACGTCATGTACTTCGCTATGGTGCGTTGTGTGGCAGCAGGCTGCAAGCTCAGCGACGTTGAGGTACGATAACTGCTAGTGTTCCGGTGGTCTGGTAGTGTTTCTAGCTAACGTTTTGTGGTGCTTGTTTTTTTCTTTTAGAAAATGCTGGACAAGCGTGCGTTGAAGGTGAAGCGACGACCTGGCAACTCGAAGGCCTACCGCATCTCGGCAGCCAACAAGATCCTGAACACCAAGGGCATGCAAAGTGGCTCAGCGTCGGCAGTGTCGGCTTCTGCGGTTAGTGAGCAGAGCTAGAGGCTAAAGCAGGAACAGGACACCGCTAGAAGACACCGGCGATCTTCTACCGGAGCCAGGCATAGAGTCAGGAGCTTCTTGCGCCAAATACACAGGCTGAATATTCATCCTAGTATTTTTCTTCGTGTTTCTGGCAGTTAACGTATGAGGCGGCTATTGCAGCCTCGTTGCACAACGCCCTGTATTCCCCCACACTCACTCATGTGTTCCATATAGAAGTTCAGGGTGCTGTGGATTGCGTAGCATTGACAGAATCAACCAGTTTACTCGTCATCCTCGTCGTCCTCGTGAGCGTCCTCCTCCTCTTCTTCCTCCTCTTCTTCCTCTTCTTCTTCTTCCTCCTCCTCAGCAAACTTGGACCAGTCAATGTGGTGGTACAGGCGCTGCAAGGGTAAGGAACAAATGTCAGCACCACCAGAATGGATCATACTTTCTGCTTCTGCTCTACTGCGTCAATTCACTGTAAAACGGCATGTAATTACGTACACCGCGGTTGTTGGCCTCCCAAATGTAGTTAGTGGCCGAGCCGTAGACACCCTCCACCACCAGCGTGGCGATCAGCACCGTGGTCACGTACACGGGCGAGCTCTTCATGAAGATGTTGTACGCGCCGTCGAACGCGCCCTTGCCGTTCACGGACGAGCGCTTGGTGGACGCCATGCGGGCGCCCTGACGCTTGGCCTGCGAGGCCACCTGACGGATCGTTCGGCTCAGCATCGTCTAAGGATTCCTGTACGGTGTGTGCGCCTTCTTTAGCTCTACAGCAATGGCCAGACGGAGGGGGGACGAGCCTGCGGCTATGAGAGGCTCTGTGTTTCAAGCGACCTTCAAGCGACATGACATAGAACACTGCAAACCACACAATGCACACCAGACGCACACTAAAGAGCCGTTTTTTGTCTTGATCTGAGTATGGGGCAAAAGGGGGGGATTTCCGCGATTTCAAAACAACCGGCGCGAGATCAAGAAGAAAGAATAGCCAAGTGCAAGCTTTTAGCGGCCCCGCTAAAACCCTAGAAGAAGCGTTGCCAGCTCGACTAGCGGAGCCGAGCCACAGCCTGATCTGCGTATAGCCGCCTCATGGAGCCCCTCGCCACCGGCAAGCGGCGACGGCCAGCGTCAGCATCGTTGTCACCGCCCCCTCCGCCGCGTCAACCCACGCGCGACGATGAGAACAGAGCGAGAAGCTGGAAGAAGCGGCGGCTGGAGCCAGCGACTGACGAGACAGAAGAGAAACGTCCGGAACTGCGCAGTCCCGAGCCTGAGGACAAGAAGCCCACGCCGAAGGGAAAGCGACGGCGAAGTCTTTCGCCTGAGGAGATACAGGAGACGAGTAACAGCAGTAGCAGGGACGAGAAGGAGACCAAGCGACGGCGTGTAGGGGAGGATGGTAGTACAACGTCACCCCCTCCCGTTCTACCGGCCTCACCGCCGGCCAATCTCAGTGACAGACACTCACAGACTTCAGCAGAACAGGAAAACAGACCAGAGGAGAAGGCGAGGTTCCCTCCCTCTCCAATCGTCATCCCTCAACTAGAGGACGACATCTCCAACAGAGAGAACGTCGCCACGTACACCAACTTGGAGGATTTCGTTGTCAGCTCACAAGGCAGTGACGTCGATCTCGTCGCAGCATGTGCCAATCTAGATAACGACGTCGTGAGCTGCAGTCAGGACTCACAGAATAGTGATATCGAGCGGGTACGGCAACGTACCTCTCTGCGGACAGTGCAGGTTACTCCGCCCCCTTCGGCCCGAATGCTAGACAGGAAGAACCCTCCGCCTCCACCGAAGAGGCCGCGTCGCAATTATCACCGTGGTATCGTGTATGCGCGAGCTTATCCGCGACTAGCGCTGTCTCCGCTTGTTGACAACTCTCCACCCAGCTCTCCACGCGTCTTCCGGTCACTCGAGAATGAATTCGCCTTCGCCATGCAGGATACGCCGGAGATCCGGCCTCGTGTTCGCCCAGCGCCGAGAATGGCGCGAGGCACACGACGATCTACACGAGCAGGAAGCGCTCGAGCACGACGATCGCTAGACACGCCCACCTCGACGATGGTATTGAGGTCACGACAGCTCAATCCGAGCCTGAGTGCCAACGGCGGCAAGCCGGAGAACCAGCGCGAGCGGGAGCAGCGTGATGCTCAACGCCGGCACGAGTGAGGAGGGGGAGTGGGGCTGATATGAGTGGCTCGACCGCATGGCCGGCCCATGGGTGCCTTCGTCGTGACGTCCGACCAAGGCTGATTTGAAGTAGTTTTTATTGTTAGTTTTAGTTTTTATTGCGAGGAATTAGGTGCCGAGATAGCAATTTAGACACTTGTAGTTTTAAGATGTGAAAGCACTAATTCCACTGTTTTATGCCATGGTGCACATATTTTATCATTAAAACTGCAGGCTTTTGGCTATCCAGCTCGTCCACCAAGCGATTGGTTCACTTCAAATTCACTGCACAAGACCATGAAGGTGCTGCTGATTAATGAGGGCTCGCTGAGCGACTTCGAGGTGCTCTCGCTCATGCAGGAGCGCAAGGAGCAGCGGCTACACAAGTCGGCGATGGTGGCATACGCTGAGCGCAACTGGATGGACCACAAGGTGCTCAAGTTCCTCACCCAGAGCCACTCGCACTGCTCCACATTGAGCTCCAGTAGCATCCAAGACTTCCTCAAGGAGCTGGAGCAGGCAGATTTGCCGGCGCTCACGTCGGCCGAGAAGCTTCAGTTCATTAACCACCTCCCCACGGAGCTTGTGGACATCCATCTGATCATCGAAGACTGCGCTGGGCGATTCTCAGAGACCCAAGTGGACGAACTTATCCGCATCGTCGAGCGCACACTAGCGGCTGAGCTATTAGAGCGACGGAATGCGGATGCTCAGGCTGAAGACACAGCCGAGGCCGAAGCCGAAGAGTAGATAGTGGCAAGTAGTGCTAAACGTAAAATATAGACGGGTGTAAGGTCTTCTTCCACCATTGAGAAGAAACCCAAGAGGACATTTGGCTCGCCTACGATCAGAATGCAAGCAATCAGAATGGTATCTGCTCCCATCAAGCCACTAAAGAGTCCTAAGGCTTATCACCTGGTCGATCGGACTCCTATCTGTGTGTAGCTTGAGTTGGCAACCTAGAAAAGTCCCTGTTACTTGAGTCCTGTGTGATGTACGTGTGGTTGGGGTGAGTAGAATGGTAGAGTGTTGAGACTTGTCTTACTGGCTGGCGCGTGCCGTCTGCACAGCGGATCTGGCTTCGGGGAACATGCCGACGTACTCCTGCGACGACAAGTACCTAACACTAATCTGTCGCTTGTTGAACCAGCGGCCATGCAGCTTCTTGGCAGCAGCTACAGCGGCCTCTACGGTCCCAAACAGCACGTACACGAGACCTCCTTGTTTCTCCTTCTCCACGTACGTGTGTAGTACAGAACCGTATTGTCCACACTCTTCCTCCACGTCCTGCTGGATCTCCACGGCCCATTCCGGGTTGCCGCTCTTTTGCTCCTGATACACATCGAACATATTCTTGACCACGAAGCAAAACGATTCACTGCCTTCAATCTCCGTCGACGACATCAACGCTGTAGCCTGCTCCGCTCGCTGTGCAGCAGTAGCCGCCGTACTATTCGTGTACGCAGTAGTGGACGCAGCGTACCCTCCAGCTCCACTCATGGACGGGAACAAGTTCACGTCGTTACCAGCGAGTTTCGCCATCAGCGCTGAGCGCGACTGAGCGTTCATACTCAAGCCCGCTCCTTCCTCGTCCTCCAGCTTCCAGCGTCCACCTGTAGCACTGTTATCCATACTGGCTGTGCCTGCTCGGTTACTCACTGCGTTCTCATTCACTGGACCCAGTCGCAAGTAGTTGCCTGCCAGTTCCAAGCCGTTTCCCTTTGACAAGGCAAAGTTCGCTTCCTGTGGACTACTGAACTGGATAAAGCTAAAGCCCTTAGAGCGACCCATCTCGTCGCGGTTGATCGTCACTGACAGAACCTCTCCAAATGACTGGAATACAATACGTAGATCGTCCTCCGTGATGTTCGTGTGGAGGTTTCCGCAGTAGATCCGACTCGCTGCAGATAACGCAGAAGCCGACATGCCACCCCCAGCTATCGCGCCTGCGAGTCCTGCACCTGACGCATCAGTTAGAGAGCCACTTGACGCTACAGTGGCATTCATAACCGAATCTTTCTTGGCTGCGAAATTCTTCTCGGCTTCCGAAGCCTTGATCATGATGGGGAATACCTGGAAGTCCGGCACCTGTCCATTTAGCAGCAAAACCTTGGGTACATCTTCCAAATTCGACAGCTCCACGTACGCAAAGCCCTTGGAGCGATTGGTGAACTTGTCGCGGATCAGCAACACGTTCTCCACCTTGCCAGTTTTATTCAGGAACCGCTCCAGGTCCTTCTCACGCACTTTTTGGATTAATTGACCCACAAAGACTGTGCGGTGGTCTCTTGTTAGTTCCATGAGCTCACGCTGCTTTGCGCGTTCAGCACGCTCGGCAGATGTGCTGCGCTCCCGCTCCTCCTTCGGAGCCGAGCGGGATCGACTCTTGCTCTTGCGCTTCTTTCTGGATGAACGCTCTCTGCTGCGACTCCGACTGCGTCCTCGATCTCGCCGAGAGCTTCCACGACTGCGACGTGGAGAGCGAGAGCGAGAGCGACGAGAACGACGGGAGCGGCGTGGACTCCTGGATCGGGAGCGCGAGCGGTCCCGATGACGACGTCGCGAGTGACTGCGGCTGCGCGTTCTGCTGCGACGTCTAGAAGAGCGACGCGAGTCTTCCTCCGGTCTGTCCTTCTTCGCTGCATCTGCGTCCTGCTTTGACTATTGCAATACGAGAAATGTTAGTTGATACGTTGGGTTCAACTCACGATAACTCGAGTTATACAGAGAGTTTAAGAGTTATCGTTGCATGGTCAGATAGCGAATCGCCTGTTCTTATAGTGCGGTACCTTGGCAGCAGCCTGGATGCCTTCCTGCAGCAGTGAGTCAATGTCTTCATCCGCCATCACCACCGCAATATCCACTCGCTTCCTGTCGCTTGAGGGGCGCTAAATTGCAATTCTTTTGGCTCCATGCGATTCAAAAACCTCTATCTATCATAGACCTTGCGTCTATCAAGTTCAAATGATGTACATTTACACGAAATGTATCCATCTCATACTCTCCCCTCAACATGGCCACGAAGATGGAGGGGCTGCGTGCCGAGGGCAACGCGTTCTTCAGCGCGAAAGAATTCAAATCCGCTGTAGACAAGTATACAGAAGGTCTGGCTGCTGCTCCGCCGTCTTCTGACCTCTCTGATGATGACCTGAAGGCTGTGGAGGCGCAGCGGGTGCTGCTTTGGAGCAATCGCGCCGCCTGTCTCCTGCAGCTCGAAGACTTCGCCGCTGCCGAGAATGACTGCACGCTGGCACTGGGCATTGAGCCGGACAATACCAAGGCGCGTTACCGTAGAGCACAGGCGCACATGGGCATGGGAAATATGACGCAGGCCTTCAAGGACGTGCACCTGGTTCTGCAGCACGCTCCGAGCAACAAGGCGGCGGCCGCATTGGCTCGGAAGATCCAAGAGCGTGTGCGAGAAGATGTACATGGCGTGCAGAAGGCACTGGACACTATTATGACTGGCGTACAGGGAGAACAGGGCGATGCAGGAGTGATGGAGGTGCTTAAGGAGCAGGAGAAGACGGTGGAGGCTCTGCAATATCTTGAGATGAAGAGTGTCACGGAGCTCACGAGTTTGCCTGAAGAAATTGCGAAAAGAGAAGGACTAGTTGTACTCTGGAGAGCAGTTAAGAAGCTTGTGGAACTGAGCGAGAGTGAGGAGAAGGAGAAGCTGTGGACCATCTTGTCCCATGTGGTCTCTCTACTGTCGATTTTGGCGTCAGCGTCGATGGAAATGGCCGGTAGGACGTTTGAATCAAACAGTGGAGCGCTGAATAGCTTATTAGAGCTACTACACAACCAAGTAGCCTTGGAATACGAAGCCCATGGTGACGTGGAGAGCAAGCAAATGCCGATTAGAGGCCGGAAGGCGATCATTCGACTGTCTGCGTTCGTCTTCAAGTATCTGCTAATCGCTGCCAAGTCGGATGACGACGCGTGTGTACGTCGCGTACTTGGTGGAATCCTAGATGGTCTACGTAGTCGAGAACGGGTGCTGCAGATTGCGGCGCTGGACGGACTGCTCCACTTCATCTCTGTATTAGGTGGGCAGACTTCAATTGTAGCGAATAACGATGACAGCGCAGCGCAACAGCTAAAGGCCCGCTTTGCAACGTTGGCGCAGGAATTGGGGCTGTTCTCTTTGCTGCACACAACAGCTTCCAGTGCATTACCTGGGCTTGATACCGGTACAACTGCTACAGAGTCGTCGAGCTCGGAACTGACTGGTGTGTTGCTGAGTCGCCTTCCTCTGGTTTTTACGCAATGTCTGGCGCATTTCGAGGGTGATGATACGATGCTGAAGAAAATGGTAAGAGATTGGTGCGTGTCTCCTGTGCTTGTTGCGAGGCCTACGAACCGCACCCAGTTGGCTCAGGGCTCTGCGTCTTGTTTGCTGCTCTCGGCTCTCTTCCTCTCAAACGCGAAGCTTGCGTTGTGGGCTGTGCAACAAACTGGGAATGATGGCACAGCGTTCCTCACTCGGTTGCACGAGTTCCTGACTGCCTCGCGAACTTTTGACGATGCAAAGACTCACACGCGACAGCTACAAGAGATCTGGGTCGACTGTGTTGCCAGTATTTGCGGAGTGGAGCATGGACCCGCGTGTGTGCCTCCCGCTTTAAGAATCGAGATTCACAGAATGCTGCAAGCTTCGTTGGACGATGAAGACGATTTGATGCTCCGTGCCAGTGCTTTGAGTATTCAAGTGAAGCTCGGGATTGTGGAGAAGACACTTGAGATGCCGTCTGCGGATGGTCAGTTCCTCATGGATAGTGTGTTCGAGGTGCTTGCGAGTGCAGAGGCAGTGGAAAGCAAGCACAGGGAAGTAGAGAAAGCAAAAACCAAGGAGAACAAGAAGGCAGTGCCCCGATCGCAGTTGTTCTGGAGCGGAGTTTCTCCTAAAGAGCGTGGTATCGAAGCATTGTCGTATTTGATCACGTACACTCCAGTCAAGGACGCATTCGTCAAGCACGCAGGTGCCGTTGCCAGTGTGTTCCGAATCGAGTTTCCAAATGCGAAGGATTCAAGTACCGGATCTAGCGCTGGCTTCAGGTCGAACGTCTATTACGGCATCGGGTATATCTTGCGCCACGTCCTTACCTCAGAGGCGGCTATTAAACGCAAGCAAATGGAGGGGATGGAGATGACAGCGGATCAATACGAAGAGCTGCAAAAGGCTTTGAAGCAGAAGTCTGCGCTGGACGATGGCGACACTCCTGAAAATGTCCAGAACCGAGTAACCAAGCTCGCTGCTTCGCGTGATGTATTGACGACGCTCGTGCAGCTGCTGAAACTCTCGGCTACCAAGTCGGAGAATATCATGGAGATGGCTACACTAAGTGCTCTGCACGCCGCAGAAGCGCCCACGGTACGCGGCAACTTGGTGCAATGTGGAGTCTTCCAGGCTTTGATCCCGTTAGCGCTTCATCATATCGCTGTAGCCAAGACTAAAGATGGCAAGAAGCAGTCCCAGATTCATGGCACCAAGATCTCGAACGCGGCAGGCCAAGCGATGGCCAAGATTTTGATCAGTACGAACCCGAACTTGATCCCTTCTTCATCGCTCTTCTCGTCTATTCGGCCACTGCTCGATTTGTGCAAGGGTGACCAGCAGTTGCTGCATTTCGAGGCGCTTATGGCGCTCACGAACATTGCAAGTGTGTCCGAGGAAACCAAGGCGCGCATTGTGGGAGAACCACAGGGCCTTTCAACGCTCCAGTACCTGCAGTTCTCGGAGCATGAGCTCGTTCGTCGTGCTGCCACTGAAGCCATTTGCAACCTCCTTCCCAATGAAAAAGTGATCGAGCAGGTTTTCATGAATGAAGAGAAAGTGCGACTGTGGATCGCGTTTGCGTCTTTAGAAGATGAGGCTGAAGATTTCGAGACGGCACGAGCTGCTGGCGGTGCATTGGCGATGGTGTCGCAGGTCCCGCAGGTTAGCTGGGTGATCCTGCGTCAAAGTGGACTCAAGGCCTTCACCACCATTATCGAAGAAGGCACCAACGTCGAAACGCTGCATCGTGCTCTGTTCGCTATGCAGAACTTGCTTGAGGCTATCTCCGGAGCGGCAAAGGACGAGGAAAAGGCTGAAGAAAGAGTGAAGTTCATTGATCAAGTCAAGCAGCACAGTGCGAAGCTGAAGCAGAAGCTGGCTGCTCACAGTGGTAAGGACCAACTCAAGGCAGCGGCTCAGGCTTGCCTCGCAGCCTTGGACCAGGTGATCGGATAGCTAAATCGAGTAGAGAGAGGGTATCTGAATGCATAAATCTCGTTCAGTGTTCCATTTTGATAGCTGACGGGGAGATCGCAGCGCCGTAGACTGTCACGATGCAGTAGATAGTACTGTTCTCCCAGAGTACAGTGCAATATCCGTCCATGGTCGGGTCCCAGAAGCAGGCGGCGGCCGTCGTCATACCTGCGCCAGTCTTCTGCATGATAAGACACGTGACTGCATACTTGAAGGGCTTGTTGAGGTTCTGCAGTCCTGTGAGCACACTCGCCACCAGCGTGTTGGACCAATCCATCACCTTCTTGCGGTTGTACACCGTGTCCTTCAACGCCGCTTCGATTGCCGTCTTGGCAATGGGCAGCACGTCCTCCTGCGAGAATTCACTCTACCTTACAACACATTAGTCGGTAAATAAACCTATGCAGCACAGCGCAACAAGCTTGCCTCGTTGGTGTCCATGGTCACGTTATCGCCGAGATGGATACGCTTTCGGCGTCGTTTCACTGCATTTCGTAATTATTCAACACTTTGTGCCACATCACAGTAACACAATCATTAATGTCCAAAGAAGTGACGTATTGCTCACTAAGCTTCAACTTCAGAAATGCGACGAAATAAATCGGACAGAGAACACAAGTAATTTGCCATTCACTTGACGATTTGGTCCAAGGCGGGAAGATGAGTGACGACTCGATCGCTGTGCAGCGGCTGCGGCAAGAGCGCAAGAACTGGCGGCGAGACCATCCGGCAGGCTTCTGGGCGCGCCCCATTGCCAACGATGATGGCTCACTGAACCTCATGATGTGGCACGCGGGCATCCCGGGCAAGGCTGGTACGGACTGGGAAGGCGGCGTGTTCAAGATGTCGCTGGCTTTCTCCGAAGACTACCCGAGCAAGCCGCCGCTCGTCAAATTCACTCCGCCGCTCTACCACCCGAATGTTTATCCGTCAGGCACAGTCTGTCTGAGTATTTTGAACGAGGACAAGGACTGGAAACCCAGCGTGACTATCAAGCAGATCCTCAAGGGCGTGCAGGACCTGCTGGACCAGCCCAACATGGCTGACCCGGCACAGCGTGAGCCCTACATGGATCTCAAGAACGACCCAGAGCTCTACAAGCGCAAGGTGCGTCAGCTGGCACTCAAGAACCGCGAGAGTTAGAGGAGAAACGTATTCAGGAGGAATAGGAGAGTTAATACAGTCGAAAGATGTGGTAAGAAGGAGAAAATCGGTCTTTGGTTATATTCATAGACACGAGGGAGCTACTAACTCGTTTCCTCCTCCTGTTTAGTGACGATCCTGAAGGGATAAAAGACACTTGTAGCGACTCTAGTCCTTCTTGAGTGCGAACATCTCCCTGTCAATGCCCGAAGCCTTGATGGTCAAGATCTCCACGCTGTCGCCCGTGTAAATATCTCTCTGCGGACAGCAAATTGCAACAATAAGCATTAGAAATGTACTCAAACCTCCCTTATCCGTTGTCACTTACTTCTCCGGCCGTAATGAACGCGTCCTTGATGATGTCCTTGGTCTCCTGCAGTGTGAGCGTCTTCTTGGGGTCCGTGCGGGTGTCGTGCTCCACCAGATTGTCCAGAAGCGGGATCATCAGGTGGCCGCCGCTGCCCTGAGCCGCGCGCGTGACGCGGTCGTACGAGCCGATAGCGTCGTACGTGTACACAGCACCCTTGCCCTTCTCGTCGATACCGCAAAGGATGCAGAAGGCATAGTACGGGAAGAAGCGACGCGAGTACAGCGTGTTCATCAGCAGCTGTGCCATGGCACTCGAGGTCATGGACGTCTCGTTGTCGTGCTGGTACATCTGTGCACGGATACTCAAAACACCGCGTAGCTGGATGATATCGTTGTGCGAACCGGGACAACCCAGCACTGTCGTGGGCGTCAGCTCGTGCAGCTTGCTTTCCCCACGGCTGAGTATCGAGTAACCCGTGCTCAGACGTGTGTCACCTGCAATCACTACAAAGTCCTCGCCCGCGATGGCCAGCACAGTGCCGCCGTTAAAGTCATACGGCTCCCAGTTCGCGCGCGCCTGCTCGTGCACACCTTCAGCCTGCACATCACGCAGTCCCAGCTTGGCATCACCGCTCGTCGTCCACGCTACCGCCTCCGGCATACTACGAGACATCGTTGCTCTGGATAAAGATGGTCTCGATCTTTTGCCCGAAGATTTTCTGAGGGGGAGTAAAAGGTCACTCGAACAAGGATTGATCCTCGATAGAGTGACTGTCAGCCGATAAACCGGTATTTGTTGAAAATTGACTTGACCTGCATTTTGTATCGAGATCAAGAACGTCCAATTTCAAATCGGTATACCGATCAGTATCGTTGGCTGACGCGTGCGGCGAGCGCTCTCATTCCAGCCGTACAGTGAGACCCGCCAAGCTGCTGTTCTCTTGCTGCGGCTCTCCCTTTCTAGCTGCTCCACACCCAAGCATATCGCTACAGCCCAGAGACGAAGACCGCTAACTAGCAGACACAATGGAGCGCGAGCCTTGTCCCTTCCGTATCGTGGAGGACGCGGGCGGAGGTTTTGTGCTGGGCGCCGTATTCGGCTCCGGCTGGTACACATTCAAGGGCGCGCGTAACTCGCCGTCCGGCCAGCGCTTCCGCGGTGCCATCTACAACGCCAAGATGCGCACACCGGTGTTGGCTGGTGGCTTCGCCGTCTGGGGTCTGCTCTTCTCCTCATTCGACTGCTCCTTCGAAGCTCTGCGACGGAAGGAGGACCCGTGGAACTCCATCCTGGCCGGCGCGGCCACAGGTGGCGCTCTGGCGGCCCGTGCAGGCCCGCGTGCCGCCGCGGGACAGGCTCTTATTGGTGGCGTGCTGCTGGCTGCCATCGAGGGCGTGAGCATCATGGTTAACGAGTGGTTCGCCCCGCAGCCCGACCAGGGCATGGCCGGCGATATGATGGGCAACCCGGAGCTGGACGAACAGAAGCTGGCGCCGCCGTCGTTCTAATTGGGCGATTGGCTTGGCTGTTGCCGGCTTGTTTGTTATATAGAGAGCAAGAAGCTCTGCGGATATGGGGCCACAACATGTTGCTGCCCTCCTTAATTATAGGAAGGACCTACGCTCCCGGATCGTTAGGATCTGGGTCGAGGATACATAGAGAACAAGGTGGAGAGGTGTCTGCAAGTTCAATGCCAGCTTGAAGCGGAGCAGATTGGAGCTTGTTGGACAACGAAGTGCGAGAGGAGAAAGTGACGAGAAGAGAAGTGCAGGTATCGACAGGAGAGAAGAGAAGGAGACGACGATAACTGACGCGGAGAACGAATGGCAATGTAACCTTAGACGCTTCAACGAGCTTGATCTAAGCTCCATACCTTGGTTTTAGAATTATCTAGACGAAGTTTTTTTTACTGAGCTTGCAGGTTGAAGCGGAGTGCTCGTCAATTGTTATTTCTGTCGGAGACTTACTTGAGACCACGAGAAAAACCGGCGGAAACGCACAATGCGCTGCGCCGAAACGGACTTGGAGAACAGGGCTGTAGGACGCATTCCCATCGAGTGGCAAGACGCGACTTGATACAGCAGCAATCCCGCTGTTGTCGAAAGTACGCAAAGGAGCACGAAGCACCTGCGTACTTTCCGCTTAGCTAAAGCTCGTCGAAGCTTAGGAAGATGGCGGAGATCAGCTACTATGATGCAGACCTGAGCGACGCCATCACGAAGCTCAACGAGCTCATGGGCAAAGTTGCCAAGGCACCACCCGGAGTTCGACCCGAGGTAGGATGGATGAGTGTTCTGCCTGACTTCTAGGTCTTTCTAATCTAAATGTTCGATGTGTAGATGCTCGCGATGGCTGAAGTGAAGCTCAAGGAGATGATTGAGCTCAAGAAAGGCTTCCAATTAGCGCTGCGTCAAGCTCCACGCGATCAAGTTACTGCATTTCGCGAGGTTTGCGCTCTTTTGAGCTCCTTTAGTGTGAAACAACCGACCTAAATCTGTGATGATCCAGAAATTTGAGGAGCATTGCGCTCGTGTTGAAGAGCTATCGAGCGAGTTCCGATGGGCAAAGGCTGAACAAGAGCGCAACGGTTTATTCGGCGATCGAGCCACTACAAGCGCAGCTGGAGCTCGAGGCACAAATGGCTTGGGCAACAAGGAATTGCTTGATAAAACGCTGGATATCCAAGCGAAGACGGAGCAAAGCCTGATGAGCACGGCGAAGATGGTTGAGCAGTCGAAAGATGTGGCTGCGGCCACAGCGGAGGCGCTACGAGGTCAACGTGAGCATATCGTTGAGATCACAGACGCCGTCATGGGCATCGAGGACAGTCTGCAGCGCGCTGACAAGCTTATTCGCTCCTTCGCGCGGCGTATGGCCACAGATCGAGTCATTCTGCTCTTCGCCTTCCTGGTGATCGTCGGAATCGCCGGTATCGTTGGCTACAAGTCCATGCATCCCAATGACACGACGTTCTACGTGCCGGATGAAGTTACTCCTCCAGATCCGACTGCACTTTACAATACCACTGTGGCTGCCATTAACAGCACACTTAGCTCGTAAACCCAAGTCCACTCGATAGCACTTCAATTGTCATAACGCCACGTGAACGAGTGTTTAACCTAGTATTGCTTATGACGATTTAGGAGCTCTCATTATCCGATCCAGACCCGTCCGAATCGGATTCTTCTTCGTCGGAATCTCCACTGGAGTTGCTTTCTTCTGAACTTTCAGCTTCCGACTCGACATGTAGGAATTCCTTGAGTTGGTACAATTTCTGTAGCTTCGCACGATGCCCTGCCTTCTGAATATGCATGGTATCCAGCGTCTTGTCATCGAGTCCACCCGTGGCTAACAGGAAATGTGCATCGTCGAAGCCCTCGTCAAAGAACGACTGCGCGTATTCTACCAACCCAATGCTTGCCAACCAGCTAGAAAGCTGCGTACGACCAGCGGCACGAGTTGCATGATCTACGAGAGCCGCGCGCATGTCAGAGAACTCGAGCTCTTCTGCCAATTCGACTGGTGTCGTTCCGCTCTGATCGAAACAAACCCATGAACATCAACATGTATTTCGTTCTCGACATCGGACAAACGTTAGATTAAATACCTTGGACTTGAGCAACTGAATGTTGACATCATCTAGCAAAAGCTTGACTATTTTACGATTGCCCTGCAAAATTGCCAAGTGCAGAGCTGTAGAGCCCACCTAAACTTGCAAGATAGTTGGTTAGAGGAGAGTTTTTCTGTAGCGATAGGCTGCGTACTTGACTGTCAACTGCATTGACTTTTGCAGCTGGCGATGCTGAAAGCAATAACTTGATGATAGCTTCGTGTTCAAAATGCACAGCAACGTGCAATGGTGAATACGAGTATTTTGTCTGCGCACATACAACAAGCAAACACTTTAACGGATCTCACACTCCTCGGATAACCTCATCCAACACGTACATTGCCCAGAGCATTTACAGCCTCCGGACTCGTAGCAATAATGTCCGACACAAGTTCAGCATCTCCTGTTGCACATGCATATTGCAGTGGTGTCCACGTCACTGTATCGCGAGGCGAGCCCGCCTCCAATCTACCGCAGCTTACTTCCTCTGTTGAGAGCCCCAAATCATCCAGTCGCGTTGGCATCGGGGCGATTCTGCTCGACTCGACGTCTCTCAAGCGTCGCAACCACGAAAAACGAGAGCAAATTGTCAAAATCGTTAGTGGAGGAATTCTTCAAGTTTAAACGTGCAATTCTCATTAAGAATTAGTAGAATGGCCAAGACTTCGTTACGATAAGCGTCACTGCAGCCGACACCACGAGCACCAACAGCACTGCAATGGGCTCCGGCGGCTTGTACAACTCGCGGAAGCGGAGGTTCTCGTTGCGTCCAAGCATGCGGCGTTTCCGACGCAGCGCGGCAATGAATTTGTCTCCAAGCGTTTTCCGGGTCTCGTCCTTGAATGTGAATCTAGCTCGCATCTCTGCTTGTTCTTGTAGAAACGCTGCGTAGGCTGCAGTTTGGTCCAGATCGTCGACAAGGTCATCGCCTTCATCCTCTCCAGGGTCGATGCGGTCATCGTCCGTTCCCAGTAACGCATTATCACTAGGAGACCGCGCTTTCACGGGGCTGCCTTTGCGATGTGCATGTGGGTCAGTCGAGTCTTCTTCAGAACTCTCTAATGCAGCAGGCTTGCCGCGAACGGCAGCCGCAGTGTAGTGTGCCGCACGCTGGTTCATTTTGGTGCTCTTTGCGTCTCTTAAAGGCGAATGGCTACACTTCAAGCCTGATCTGCTGCGACCTTCCAGCGACCTACGGACGACATTTGACCACAAAGAACCTTCAGCGTCATACCGAAGATTACCGATTCCGTTCGCACTAAAAACCAAACGAGCAGGGCCGCACAACCGAGCAAGCATAACAAGTGACAGAATGCCCAGTGCCAAGTGGGAAATCGCGCGCATCGGAGTCTACATCTCCAGTGCGTCTTCAGCCTGATGGTGTAGCATGCATAGTTGAGCGTATGAGCTAATTCTTTGCCCTCGACTTGCAGTCCCTATTGTCGCTACGTGCATCTACGCCCAGCCAGACTGCATCAACTACATTATCAACCGGGTGAGCTGGCCTGAACCTCGCTTATGAGTTAAATGCTGGCGTCTTAATAAGACTGCTATGTTGTGGTGATTTTGTAGTGGAAATACATCCAGTACCCGCCACAGGCTGTGTCTCGCGAGGAGTACTACAAGAAGATGCGGGAGGTGGCCAACGAGGACAAGTGAGGGATTGTGTTGGCTTGGGCCTTTTCCTGGAAATTCATTGCAGTCTGTGACACTAGCTGGAAGGAAGATCATTTCACTAATATAAAAGGCAAAGAAAACCAAAGCACGTTGTATTTTTTGCTAGAGTGGCTGTGGCATGGCACGCGACAGCATGGGGGCACGCTGCGTATAATTCTGTATCACTGCTTGTCGCGCGCCGTCAAAAACTGTTTACTGGAGTTGTGATGCACTGCCTTCTACTCGCACAGTCTCGGTGACCTGCCTGGTTGCGTCATAATGGCGCTAGTCCTGCGTTTAATGGTACGCCGAGCTCTCCATTCCCCGTTTACTGTTTCCGGAGCAGACAGTAGATCCGTGTGTCATTGTGAATCATGTGCAGGTGGCGCTGTTCGCCACGCAGACACATGAGCAGACCTCCGAAGCTGGCGTAGATGGCCACCATGTTTCCTCCCTCGTGATCATACTGGAACACCTTGCCGTACATACCGTAGTCGTAACGGTCCAGCAGCGTCGGCTACGATATTCCAATAGCACGGAAATAGTTAGCATATTGCTCGCAATCCACGAAACACCAGGCAGCGAGTTAGTTACCTTGCCCGACTGGTTAAAGATGCCGTCATCCGGCTTGCCTTCCAGGTCCAGCGTGCTGACTAGCGCCAGCGTAAACTTCTCGTTCTGGCGAAGCCGGTAAACCTCCGAGTTGATGTCTAGCGTCAGCTCCAGCTCGTAAGACACACCCTTGCATACCACGCGGGTCACTGTGTCATAAGTTCACCTCGTTAATCATCCATAGCTCGCCTTCCAGAGCACACACAGAAGGCGCAAAAGCACCAACATATTCAGCTCAATATGGCGCGCACCTTTGTCGAACTTCTTGCCGTCCGGGTTGAGCTGGCGCACCTCGAAGATATCCTCAAACAGTTCGGTCGCCATCGTCTCTCAAGTTTCGATTCACAAAGTGGCGTCCACCAGCCAAAGCACACAAACAATATCCAACCGGTATTTTTCAAGATTCCGGTATCGAGTCGGTAGCTGTGTTTACCACACCAACCATCTGCTACGATGGCAACCGACGTCCGTAACGACAAACCCAGAGCCAGAAGACGAGAAGAGATAATCTAGTGAGGCTTTGCCGGTCTAAGAAACCCCTGCAGAGGAACGAGTCGACTGGGGAGACCGCCTCAGCAGCACAGCGCCGCGCTCACACCGAGATATTCTAGACACACAAAGCCATGGCGTCGCCTCGCGAAGATGAGTACGACTACCTGTTCAAGATCGTGTTAATCGGTGACTCGGGCGTCGGCAAGTCCAACTTGCTGTCCCGCTTCACGCGCAACGAGTTTAATCTCGAGTCCAAGAGTACTATCGGTGTCGAGTTTGCCACCAAGTCTATCGTGGCCGAGGGCAAGACCATCAAGGCGCAGATCTGGGACACAGCCGGCCAGGAGCGATATAGAGCGATTACCAGCGCGTACGTCCCTCCTTCAATGCCGTCGTTGACAGTATATTAATTTATTTGTTGTACTATTTATTGAACAGATACTACCGGGGTGCAGTAGGCGCGCTATTGGTGTATGACATTACGAAGCACGGCACCTTTGAGAACGTGGAGCGCTGGCTGAAGGAGCTGCGGGACCACGCGGATGCCAACACGGTCATTATGCTGGTGGGAAACAAGAGCGATCTGCGTCATCTGCGTGCGGTATCGACGGAGGAGGCTATGGCGTTCGCGGAGAAGAACAATCTGGCGTTCATCGAGACGTCTGCTCTGGAGGCCACAGGCGTCGACACGGCTTTCCAGCGTATTCTTACCGAGATCTACAAGCTTATGAGTCGCAAGACTATCCAAGCGGAAGAAAACGCGACGGCTAGCTTGCCGACGGGTAACAGTATCGCAATCACGGCCGAGAATACGACCGAAAGCATAAAGAAGAAAAAGAAGAGCGGTTGCTGCTAGGCTGCGTGCCCCCCTGCGACGGAGTAGATGAGGTGGTAAACGTGAGTCCAGGGACGACCCACACATCTTAATGCAATCGAGTTTAATCTACATGTACAACGCCACGTACGTCGGCACCGCATTTGCACTGCAACGCCTGACTTTCGTCACTTTGTGAATTTTCTACAAATTACCACAAAATTAACCAGAAAAGACCACTTACCAACAAAAACATTTTTTTTTTTTACAGAAATAGCTTTCTTGAGATTTGAGGCTCCCTTACAAAGTCTAAATGTAATGTTCCAAAATAAACGATTCTCAAAAAAACTTTATATATAAACCCTTGTACCATAACGGGACAACTGTTGGTACGTGTATCAACGTCTTCATCATGTACCATAAAAACGGTACTTATTTGGTACGCTGTACCAATTGACACATTTCAAAGTTGTCGACGACCACCGATGGCGAACAAGAAGAAGCGGAGCCGCGTGCAGGCCGCCAGCGCTGTACGTGCATAACCAAATGACTCAAAGGCGAAGATTTTAGTGCTATTCCTTATATCTCTCTTCTGTCTAAAGCCGGTGCCGTCCGAGCAGAAGCCCAAGAAGAAGGCCAAGTTCGCGTTCTCCAAGACTCTCTCGACGGATGCCAAGATCAAAGCTGCAGTCGCAGATGACTCAAAGCCTCAAGAAACAAAGGAGCAGTCCGTAGTGAAATCAGTTGCAGAATTTCCGAGCACTGACGGCGCTAAGAAGAAGAAGAAAAAGAAGAAAAACAAAAACGCAGGAGCCGCAACAACAAACGACGCTGCTAAGACAGAGAAACCAACAGCAAATAGCGGCGAGATCGACGATCTGTTTGCGTCACTGAAGACGGAGAAGCAGAAGAAGAGCATCGCTGAACAGCAGCAGAAGCTCGCCGAAGTGGAGGAAGAACGTCGTGAAAAGAAAGAAAAGGAGCAACTACAGCAACAGATCAAGAAGCTCGAGGCGCAGAGTACGTTGCTATTATCTTGGTGACATTAACGTGGTTGTTTGACACCCAATTGTCTATTTCACAGACACAAACTCCACTGCCGTTGGGCTCAACCCGGATCCGCGACCTGGTACGTTCATGACTGCAACTTTCGTCAATTTCCATTAAGTTATTTGCTAATTATCTTATCAAAATGTTATCAGTTCGCTACGATGAGGATGGACTGCCCATTTACACGGAGGCTTCGCTGCAGATCGGCAAAGGCGGCAACACCAAGGATTGCCCATTCGACTGCTGGTGCTGCTTCTAAAATAACTCCAACAATCGCAAATTTCAATTTTAGACCAATCAAGTACCGTTATTTTGCTTTTCCCGCCATATTCCAACCAGTCGTGAAGCGTCACTAAGTGCTCATGGAGCCTACGCTCAAGCGGCTCGCTGGTCCACTGGACGAAGGCTCATCGCTGTCTAAAAGACAAGAGACTTGTGCAAACGAAGCATCTACTACTTCCGCTGTAAATTCATTGGCTACAGCTCCCAGCGTCATGGACATCCGCGCCTTTGGCCTCGAAGACCGCGCCGCAGCCGTCATATCCCATGGCAAAGAGAGCTGGACGCTCGGCCACCTGTCCAAATGGCGTCACGACACGCTGGATAAGGCTGCCAATGCGTCAGACCATAGTAAACTCAGTAGCAAGGAGTATCTGCGGCAGCGACAACGCGCATACCGTCACCAATGTCTCTCCAATAGAGATCTCAAGCACCCAGACTAATAGTAAGCTGCAAATACAGTGGCTATTTCATATCTTATCCACGTTCTTTATGGATAGTAAGTGTCAATGTCCCGACACTAGTCGTCTTCCTCCAGATCGCTGTCGTAAAAGATGCTCTGACGGATACTATTGATCCGTTCCTGGTCCAGCTGCTGCTTCGCTGCTACGGGGTCGTTCCCTGCTGCGTACACTCCTCCGCAGTCGTCCAACGCACTCTCCGGCTCGGGCCCTTCATATGTCAACACCTTGTGCAGACCCAAGTAATAAGCCAAGAAGGCAGTGGAGAATTTGTCCGTGCCTCCCAATTCGTCCAACCCCTGCACCATTTTCTCCACCTTTTGCTTATTAACTAGAGCGATACACGGAATCATCCAGACCCCAAGTTTATCCACTAGATACTCAGCTTTCTCCGCATTAATGCGAGCGAATTTAGTCTCAAGATGGTGTGGAGCTAGACGTGATAAATGACCGTCAACTAATTGACAGAAGGCGTTGGCAGGCGTGAAGAAGTGGACCACGACCTTGTCGCTCTTTTTCATGGTCTCGAAGAACTCGTGGGTGTCAGAGATGGTTGAATACTCGCCGTGGCCCTGTGCGCGTAACTCCTGCGCCTTGCGAGCTTTCTGCTGCATGGCTTGCAGTCGCTTCTCGCGTAATCGCTCCAGCTCGTCGTCATCAGCCTCTTCGAGCTTCTTGATGGTCTCGTCGAGCTTCTGCTCCTTCTGGTCTAGTGTCTCCAACACCTTCTCGCCGATCAGACTCGCTACCATCTCGGCCTGCGCAGCGGACGTCGACGCCATGGTTGCCAAAGGTCCTTTTGTATGGCACCGACCTTAAAGTGGATCGGGACTATCCGATTGGTTGAAAAGATTGATTTAACAACAACAAAACATCTAAAAAAAAATCAAGCATCTTTTTTTTTTATTAGAAATTGATGGATTTGACCACGTGACGTATCTTAACAATACTCGTTGACTCAAATTTATTTGCATAATGAGTTGTTTTAACCGTACTAGATATCGCACGGGTTGTTGTGAAGAATTGTCTTCTGGGTAAAGACATACTGGCTCGTGTTATTCGATCTATAGACGAATACCTTACTCCTTTCCTGTGTCACGAGGTTTCCACGGCTGCTTGTGAGGGAGGAGCCTCGGAAAGCACTTGGTTTAAAAAAATCCACGTTGACTTTCGGATGTGACTAGATACTAAGCAGTTGTCTTTAACTTTTGTATGGTAAGCTCGAGAATTCATGCTCGACTCCTTTCTTATCGATACCTATTCATTGTCGTGCATTCACTTCATGCACGTTGCATAAGTACTTCGAAGTAGTAACTTGTGTTTTATCTACTTTTTCCAGCCCGGGTGCAAATAAATTGTCCAAACAGTTGAGACTAGGTAATGCATTTTCTACTAGATTTGGCTCAAGAGTGATGAAGTGCTTCTTTATAGTAAGAGCGATGACGAATTACTTCGAAGTTGCTGTATCCCTTCTGCCACAAGCACAGGAAACTCAATTTCGGGACAGTCAGTTGAACAGCATATGCAGGTATATTATGTTTCAAGAACTGAACGTGTTCGACATGTGAACGCAAGATAACCCATAGCCATGCCTACCTAATTCATACAAGCGCAAAACTTCCAACGATAAGAGAAAAAAATGAGTTGACACGGTGGTTGAATTAATCGACACCAAGAACACAACAAAGCTCTCTATAAAGCGCGCTCATTCTCGTAGTCGATGAGACGCTGGATGAGTTCCTTCTTCTGACCCTGTGTGGACAAGTCGCGCTCCTTAAGCTTCTCCTTCAGAACCGCCGGCTTGAGTGCCTTAATTGCACGCGCGTCCAAAGGCTCATCTAACAACAAATAAAAAAAATCAACATACATATCCAGACAATACAGCCTAACAGTCAGCTTACCGTCGTCCTTCACCTGCACCTTCTTCTTGGCTTTCTCGCGTTCAGCGGCAGCTGTTTACAAAATCACAATAAATTAACAAAAATCCTCCAATAATGCAATATTTCAGTTTTCTTACCAGCTTCCTCCTCCTTCTTGCGCTGTTCAGCCTCCTCGCGACGACGCTTAACCTCCGCCAACCTGGCCAGGTCCTTCTTGGCCTCCTCCGTCTCTCCAGCCAGGTGCTTCTTCATGTAATAAGCAGTAGCGCGCTCCTTCTCAATAGCTTCACGCTCTCGTCGACTTAGCTGTTGCGGAGCGGCATTGCCGTCCATGTCCTTGGCCTTCATGACCTTATTGGCTTTCTTTTTGGCATTAGGGTTCTGCGTCTTGGCGATGGCAGCGAAGCCCACCTTCTTCTTCTCCTGTTGCAGTGCAGGGCCATCCGCTTTGTTGCTAAAGCCGAAAAGCGAGTTGGTCTGTACGCGCTCAAAGGCCACAAGCTCCTCTCCCTCCTCGTCGGAGTCGCTCTCGTCCTCCGAGTCGCTTTCGTCGTCGTCGTCACCGCGGGCCTTACGCTTCTGCTCCTCCTGCTCGTCACGCAGCGTCATCTCCTCCAGAGACGTCACGAACTTACGGGCCGCGCCCTTCTCGCGCTTCTTGCGGCCCTTGCCGGCAGCGCCGGGCTTGCCTCCAGACTTGCCGGTGTCACGCATGGTACAGAATAAGTTACACCTTTAGACTGGTTGGTCTTGGCTTCCTCTTCCGTAATGGAGGTGGCTGCACTACCAGAATGAGGTTTTTCATACAAGAACGAGAGGTCTCTATGTTAGAGCAACTAGCCTCGGTACTCGGTAAACAAACCGGTATCAAGTTTAGAAAAGGATGAGTGATGGTCTGTGAAAAAGCAAAAAAAAAAAAACCACTTTCTTTTTTTCAAGAAAGACTATTTTTTTCGCCAATCAGATCTCTCGGTGTTAGTTGGTGTATCATACGCAGTTTTGTGTTGATGTACACAAGGCCTGGTGACTTTGTGTTGCCACATGCAGACCTTCCTTTTTGACACGAGAAGCTTTTAACATGACGACGGTAGGCAGCAAGCGACCCTGTATCCTCGTCACAAATGCGCTAACATCTGCTTACTAGATCTGTATCGGAGGATTCTGCATTCCTCTGTACGCGCTGCTGCCATTTGCGCTCATGATGCTGCAGGGATTCTGGAACTGGTTCCGCAAGAATGTTTTAGGTCAAGACGACGAAAAGATCCCCGAGAATGTAGGTCCATCGGGTTACAATAGCATAACCTCCAAATTTATTTAACAATTATTGCCTACAGACCCGCGTGATCCACGTGACGTCGGAGCTGCAGTTCAAGGAGCTGCTTGGCAAGGGCAAAGCGACCAAACGCTCAGTGGTCGTGGACTTCTCGGCCACGTGGTGCGGTCCGTGCCGCTACATCAGCCCCGTATACCACGAACTCAGTGCGAAATACCCGTGCACAATCTTCCTCAAAGTGGACGTGGATGAGCTCAAGTCCGTCTCCAGAGGCTGCGGCGTGACGGCTATGCCCACGTTCCAGTTCTTCCGTGGCGGAGTCAAGTGCGACGAGATGCGTGGCGCAGACAAGAACGGACTGGAGGCGCTTATCCAGAAGCATTACGTGGAAGTAGAACTGCCCGAGGACGAGAAGCCCGTGGCAGCAGCGGCTGGGGAGAAATCTGTGACGGAAGGCGGAGAAGGTCTACGTCAGCGCAAGCCACAGGTGACGACTGTGACTTCGGAGGAGCAATGGGAGAAGCTCATGCAACAGAACCAAGAGTCAAACAAGGCGGTGAGTGTGGTATATTGGTTTAGGGATACCCTTGCATTGATTCTGACTGAGTGTTGTGCTTATTGCTGGTAGTTGGTGGTGGACTTCTGGGCTACGTGGTGCAAGCCGTGCGTGGAGATCGCTCCGTTGTTCGAGGAGTTAAGTGGTCGGTTCCCCGCTGCTGTGTTCGCACGTGTGGATGTCGACGAGCTTGAGGTAAGATAATCTACGCGGGATGTGGCATTAACAACGTGGCTTACGTCTTGCTTGGTGCTGTTTACAGAGTGTGGCGGAGGATTTCAATGTATCGTCGTTGCCTAGTTTCAAGGTATTCAAAGGCGGCAAGGTGGTTGATGAACTCAGCGGAGCCATTAGGAGTGCTCTGGAGAGCATGGTTGCCAAGCATGCCAAGAACTGATTGTAGCTAACCTAAAACAAACAGTGACGAGCGGTTTGACTCACAAGTGGAAATTATTATTGTGTTCCGGTGCGAAGCAAAACGAATGATGATCCTGCGCTAGTACGTTGTACCTGTAGTTCGTTCAGATCTCCCAAACGAGCGAAACTCGCGGTTTCCAACAACCAGGCCAGTCCCTTGTTTCTGGCCCTCATTTCAGCTCTTACCGGCACGCAGGACAACTGTGGCACATGTCCGAACTCACAAAACGTTAACTAAACTTATGGAGAAGGTTGCAATAAGTTCATCGACAGGCAGCAGGCTACTTATCAATCCGGCTTTAGCCGAGGACACGTACTTATTCAGATCCTGTCAAGGTCATACAATTCGTAGGTGTACGTTGTCGAAAGAAAAGATCGCACCCGTTGATGTTTACTACTTGGCAAACGAGATCCACTCACTACTGTAGTAGAGTTAGTGACAGCCAATTCTGCAACTCCAGCCCTGATACATGTGTCTAGGACAACCGCAGATACAATCGCTTGCAAACAGTGCAGGCGGCTCGCCTTTCGCCTTCGGATACGTTTTTCTTTGCGTCTGTATTCCGGTGTACTACACAGTGGCCCAGTATGGCACAGTGAACGTGACCCGAGATCCCATTGCACGCTTCGTGACAATATCAAAGACCACGCTACTCGCATTTTAGCTCCGCGCGTGAAAGAGCAAGCTTGCTATGCAGCGATTCGCACCGATGGCCAGGTAATGGTGGCCAGGGAGTCGCTACGTCGTATCCGTCCCTATCTGTGCCGATGGAGTGGGGCACACCAAAATCTGATTTTTGCCAGCAAGGCGCAAGAGGACACTCCGCTTAAAGCTACGATGTCGCAAGGCTGCTGGGGCTGGTTCCTGCGCAACGTGCTGCGCCAAGACGGTGAATATGTCCCCATCAATGTGCGTACACCAGAGACTGGCCGGATCTCGCGTCCTGCGCCGCATGCTCACGAATTCCTGCCACTCATTGCGTCTGTATTTGTCATGTAGAGCCGTGTGATCCACGTGACGTCGCAGCACCGGTTTAAGGAGTTCATGGAGACGAGCAAGCGCTCCGTGGTCGTGGATTTCTCGGCCTCGTGGTGCGGGCCATGTCGACACATTAGCCCTGCGTTCCACGAGCTCAGCGCCAAGTATCCAAGCACGATCTTCCTCAAAGTGGACGTGGACGAGCTCAAGTCCGTGGCCAAGAGCTGTGGCGTGGTGAGCATGCCGACGTTCCAGTTCTTCCGTGGCGGCGTCAAGTGCGACGAGATGCGCGGCACCGACAGGAACGAGCTGGAGGCGCGTATACTGAAACACTATGTGGAAGAGGAGGGCGAGAGTGTCGGTGACAATGGCAAGCTGCCCAAAGGTTTGCGGCAGCGCAAGCCTCATGTGGTGACAGTGACGTCGGACAAGCAGTGGCAACAGCTTCTGCAGCAGAACCGGGAGTCCAACAAGGCGGTGCGTGCAATTATTACCTGTAGTGGCGGATACTTAGATACCTTGAACCGATATTTCGGTTACAGATACTTTTTGCGATGCGGTATTTTAGTTTCTGACGATATTTCATGTTCTGGCAGTTGGTGGTGGACTTTTGGGCCACGTGGTGCAAGCCGTGCGTGGAGATCGCTCCGTTCTTCGAGGAATTGAGCTGTCGGTTCCCCGCAGCTGTGTTCGTGCGTGTGGACGTCGATGAGGTCGAGGTAAGACATTATTGTCCTTCTGGCCTGGATGGCAACTGGTGTCGAGGCAAATTAGTCCGCATCGTGTCTCTGTGGCACATGGCTACGTTTTTTTTTTTTTTGCAGGAATGATGGTATTTGTGGGCTAATCGAGATGACGTGATACTTGTTACGGTTGCAGAGTCTGACCGATGAGTTCGACGTGTCCTCGCTGCCCTGCTTTAAGGTGTTCAAGGGCGGCGAGGCGGTGGACGAGCTGAGCGGAGCGATCCGCGGCGCGCTGGAGGGAATGGTGGCCAGACACTACGGCGCTGCCACGGCGGCCGCGAGTTGCTGATCTCGAGGTCAGTGGCCACTGCGCAAGGCGACGAGAACCACCCGACTGACTGAAGCGATGTCTCATATATTACTGCAACTCAAGCAATCCCCATTCACTTTTTTCATTGTCTTCAACATGCACATTTTAGCCCGCGCGGCGATGGGCCGAAGCCAGCCAGCCACTGGAAAAGTGGCCATGATGGCACGATGTCCGATTTCGTGCCATCATCGCACGTTGACGAGCACTTTTGCCGACATGGCTGCGCCTTTGCAGGCAGCATTCAAGTCAAGGGGAGGTGTCGCTGATTCGCCCGATTTGCATGTGCCTGCTCAAACGAGCAGACACTCCGGTAAAGCCCGGACAGGACTGTTGGTGCTCTACACGGAGTTTATGACACGTTGCTCTACGTTTTCGCAGTGGGGTAATCAACGGTAGGGCGCGCGTCGATAATCATCATCAAATGCTCATTTTGAAGCGCACTAGGTTGCCCATTTCTGACTAAATCGGAGACGACGTACTTGCATAATACCCTCACGAGTCGTATCCTATGAGGTACACGCCCAACTAGTGTTAGCCTTACGTTTCTTTTTTCACTTCCACATTATTGTTGGCTTGCCATTACGGGCTGTACGGTATTACCATCTTGCTTACATACAGATAGACAAAACGTAATACAGACGGCGTGTGCCTTGCCTGGTATGCATCGTTTTGGTGGGTATCCACTGCGGTGCCGGTGGATATTCTGAACGTCGCCTTGTTTGACAGCGGCATTGGCGACGATTTGTCAGTCGACTCGTCATGAACAAATCGACTAAGGCAGGCTCGAGAATCAAGCGCCGAAAGATTATAAAATATCAGCAGGGAGCTCGTAAATGGGTAATAAACTACATACTTCCCCATACCCATTTTCGGTCAGGACAAGTTTGCTAATCAGCCCGTCCCCGTCCTTCCTTCTTTCTTTCCCGCGTACAAGGACCTCCCAAGTTCATGTACAAGCCCTTTTCTCTCGCTCTACCACGAACAGCGAGTGAACCTCACCTCACCCCACTGCGAGGATCTCAACTGGCAATCCATAGCCATCCGTCTTTACTGCTTGTTAGTTCAGATCTGTTCAGTCGCCGACCATTTGATTCCAATCAGCCGAGACGGGTTAATCAACCACTTCACCGTCGCCACCGAAGATCGCGTTGGTCTGCGTTGGCGAGATTCTTTGTCTCGATGCGCTTGAAGCTCTGAGAATCTACGGTATGCGTGGCACTGTGAGGTGTCCCGCGCTTCTTAGTTGATGGGTACATGGCGGCTAGCAAAAGAAAAGATCTCGGAGCCCCGAAATGGCTGCTCTACCCAGCTGCGTCCATTACGCGGCGGCAATCCACTGCAGGCTGCAGTGCAGTGAGGGTCCCCATAATCCATTGGTGCTGGCCAGCTTGGGCGAGTGTTCCATTACTACGCACGCCCATGTGGGGGCGGTCCCAATAGAGAGGTTTGATTATGGCGACTGCAATCCCGCAATCGACCAAATCGATGACGGCTATTGCGAAACCCTGTACAGACGATCACAGTCGACCTATCGAATTCAACAGGATATATTATCTTACAACCTGACTCACCTGATTATTCGCGCTGTGCCAAATGTAGCCACTGGTCGTCTATGTGCGGTATGTATTTATAGAATGTGCCCCGTTTTTCGTGGCCCTCCCGATTGGGTGAGTTTTCAGGCGGGCATAGGGTCCCAAATAGAAGGTCTTCCCCCAGCCCTTGTGTCTAAAATGGCTGTGCCTCCTTCTCACTTCTGTTTTTAGCCAGGCACCGCCAAGGACCGAGGAAGAAGACGTCTCCGCCAGCCACCACCGCGCTTGCAAGCTTAGCGAGGAGCAGCTCAGACTTATTTACACACAGAGACAGTCACCATGCAGTTCCTGCGCCAGCTCGTGCTTCTGGCCGTCCTGGCCGTGTCCACCACAGCCGTCGCCAAGGACACACCCAACACAGCCATGGACGCCGAGCCCCGCACACACCTACGTGGCCTACTGAACAAGATCGTCAGCAACGAGCCCACTCCCGCGCCTGTGCGTGTGCTGGCCGCCACTTGGGAGAACGGCAAGGTGGGCGAGGCCCGTAAACTACGCCCCATCTCGGAGAAAATCGTGGGCGGTGAGACAGTAGTGATGTTCAATGACCGTCGCTTGAGCCCCGCGGACGAGATGGAGTCGGCCGTCGTGAACTTCGACGTGCGTTCGAACCCGAACTGCGTCGTGAGCGTGTGTGGCGAGATGTCCAAGTGGTATCTTGGCTCCAAGGAGCAGTGCTTCGACCTGCGCATCGCCCCCAAGTCCGCCGACCAGCTGGAAAACGGTCTGATCCGCGGCGTCTCGGCCGCCTACTCGGGGCTGCGGCCAGTGGCCACCAATTTGTACCTAAAGTTCGACGAGACCAATTTCATCGACGGCTCCAAGTGCGAGTACGAAATCCTTTCCGGCAGCAAGACAGTACGCGAGGAGGAGATTGCTAGCGGCTCGCAGGCCGCCATGGCATAGGCCTCACATACACACAGCCTTCTCTTAGTGTAAAGAGCTGTACAATAGGATAGACCCCACCCACTATTATTAACTCGAAAAGCTTGGCAGCATTTTGCAATTTCGTTTGTCGTCGCCCGTCATCCACCACAATTGGCTTGGTGGGTACAACAGCCGCAAATATGATGGGGCGACAAGTTTCCTCGTCCAGCGTGAAGTGAAAGCTGGAGCTTAGTGATGCTAACGCTGCTGGATCCAATCGCCTTGCTCAGCGTGAAGCTCATTGCCTCCACCCGTTTCCAAACTCTCTCTTGTCTTGGGGCAGATCTCGGAGAGCTTGAATTTGGGCGTATCCACGTGACAGGGCAAAAACTGAAGCGGGGTCGGATATTATCCGGATTTTTTTGATACTGGTCATCGAAACGATTTTCGCTTCGAGCAACGCACGAGTATTCTCTGGCACGACAATGATCATGCCTCTGCCGACGCCAAAACGGCTTGACAACGTCTCCGCTGTGGATTGGTCTGCGGTGTCTTTCTAATGCGGAGGCGTCGTCGATACGTTTTTGCTGGCAGGCATAATCAGCGGCACGACAGGCCTAGAAAGGATGGATGGACTGGCACAAAAGCTAGCGTTGAACTCTGCAAAACGTCGACGACGCTATAGTCCAGCCTGAACATGATTTACTTGTGCCCTTTCCTCTGCCAACTTGGTTGTGATTTACAATCCATGGTGCCGATGTGATCGATGGATAATGTCAGCCAATTGCTTCGCAACTTGCATCCGATGACGTTTGAATCAGCTATAACGCACAACAGTGCCGTTTGAGGCGAGTATGCATTTGGTATCACGAAAGCTTCATGTCGTCTTGAACGCTGCGAGTCTCATCAATAGTGAGACTCGCGACCACCATTACCATATATATTGGTATATTACACATGTATTTGCGACAGAACCACATATCGTACCGAGTGTAGCGTTAGCAACCAAGCACACATGCTTCCGCTGTGTCGGATGCTTCTAATTGGTAAAATAGTTAATGCGTGAAACTCTGTTTTCATTTTTCCATTAAAAATACTGATTGCATTTCGTCGATGAGACTTGCGATACTAACATGTACTACCAGTTGCCCGATATCAAGTAGCGTGTCAACTAAAGACTCCAGCTGATCTGGTTATGTTTGACTGTGTAGGAATCACTTCGAGCATTACCGCAATTTCAGTCTCCATAACTTCAAAGTAAATAAAAATAAATTATCTCGTAAAACCAAAACTAAAATGCTTCCCACAAGGGTGAGTAACTGTATTTCGCATACTTTAAAAAGCTTTCCAAGTAAAATACGAATTAAAACACTTCTTTACCAACTTTCTACAGTAATGCACCGCGGGTAAACCTTTGCAAGTACATCAGGTTTTAGCAAAACAAAACTGAGGATAGCTCGAGAAAAAAAATCATTAAGCTCGAAAGCAGCGTGCACTACAGTTCTGCTTTTAAATTAAATTAAAAAATAATTTTTAAAAGAGTTTTGACTCGTCTTTACGAATGGTTAGGTCTAATCCGTTCGAAAGCGCGGAAGCCCCACGCATTATTTTACATTTCGCGAAGGAATTATCGCGTCCCTCCGTTCTTCACGCCTCCAGAGAATTAGATGAGGAGCACCCTACGCTGCGGTCAGCAACATGACCGAATGATCTGCTTGACGCTGCGCTCTCTGCAGTTCGTCACGTGCTTAGTGGCGCTGGCCCTCGTGGCCGCGAGCTTCAAGGCGAAAAAGATGACCTTCCACACAGACAGCGGCGACGCGCACGAGGTGACCGTCTACTACGGAGGTCCTGCCGTTAACTTCGTCATGATCGTTTCCTTCGCTGCCTGCCTGTACGACGCGTTCTTCTTGGTAATGGTCTTTACGCTGCGCTGCGCCAAAGTGCCGGCGCCGTGGAGCTTCGGCGTGGACGCCATCTTCACGATGCTTTTCATGAGCGCCGGCTGCGCGCTGGCCGCCTGTGACTACGTTCGCTACTGCGACGCGCTGGATGGCGTCGTCAACTGTGCGCTACTGGCGTCAGGCGCCGCGCTGTGCTTCATGGCCTTCGTAGTCTTTTTGATCAGCGTGGCCTGGGGCGCCTGGATGCGAAACACGTGGATCAAGCCCAGACAGAAAGACCCGCTCGGACACGTAGGGCCCCTACGAGCTGGCCAGCCCAGCGACCCCGTTCTGGGTGACATGGAGCTCGATCTGGAGCGTGCCAACACGTACGAGTCCAGCACATACGTACAGGACGGCTTCAGACGATCGTAAAGTACAGGGAAAGTGTGCGACTGAAGTGTGTAAATATGAAGCGGGAGAGGAAGGACGCTGTATGAGGCCTCTACCGTTTTTGAGAGGTGCAAGTTAGGAACGTAAGCAGCTCAAGCTGCAGGTAACATAATGCCAGGAAGAAGAGAGCTTTAACAACATATTTGCCCTGCTGCCATCTCCTTGACCGCCTAAGGAATATTTATCATTGTTTGTTGCAGTAAACAAGACCAGGAATCCGGCAGGATGGCGTGGAGAGTGGCGATCGCCAAGATGCCAGCAGTACGTGCGTGCGATATCCCACTAAGTCACTTGTAAGATGGCGTGACTCGAGTTGAGCGGCGAAGTTTATCACGCACTATCGACTTCACGCTTCTTCATTCCAAGTGGTGGGCGATGTATTGGACGGCTGCATTGACTCGACGGCGACTGGTCGCCTACGATTGAAGCGAGGGGTATCCATATCTTTGCTGAGGTTGATCGAGGCCTGCTTTGGGTCATTTCCGGATCCATTGTGATGGTAATGCAGGGCAAGCGCAAGTCGTGGCAGCGGGGCTCGCAGTTCCGGTCGCGCCAACGAGCAAAGGCGATGGCAGTGGCGCTAGGAATCGTGATTGTCATCACGTTGGGGCTTTTGTCACTTGTGAGCAGCCCCTCGAACTTGAGTGTTGAAGGCGAAGTCGGGCACGTGACGCGGCATTTGCGAGAGCTTTTGCTGGACCCCAATGTCCACGGACATGGCGTGTTGATGGAAGCACAACGGCGACGAACTATTAACGGGGAGCCGCGGGGCATGATGATGGAGGCCCAAGCGTTGCGCGTAGTCGGTCAAAATCCTGCCGTAACGATGGCGGCAGATACTAAGACGACCTCCACCCGTGCGCACCCGGCCCACTAGGCACTGAAAACTGGTACCATAACACAAGCTGAGCAGCATGACAAGAAATCTGTTCTGGAACTGTCGCCAACGCAGAAGCGAAAGCCGAGGAGGCGGAGCAGGTTGTTGATGCGGCAACGCAGGCCGCCTTGGAAGATGAGGAGCGCGCCGAGGCTGCTGAAGCCATGTGAGCTGTGAACGCGAGAATGGCTCCACGCAGGTCGACGTAATGATCGCTGATGGTTAGAACGGCGAGGAGATTTCGATATAGCATTTGGAGAAATAGTACTGTTTTAAGTTTGATTAATCGTTATTCAATATCAGCATTCATGAGGTGAAAAAAAAAATGGAGAATCTCAAAAAAAAAAATGCTGATAATTTTAAACAGGTGCAGTTCAATTCAAAGGGAGAGAGTACTAGCGTGGCGAAGGCGGCAGTAGTGCAGCACGATGCTGTCACAGTCCAAATCTTGAACTCAAAACCGGGAGTATTCGGCAAGGTAAGCATCTACAGGCAGATATACCGGATGTTTTTTTTTCCCTAATCAGAAAAGTATTTTTTTATTGCAATACTCAAATTGAAGCAAGAAATACAATATTTTCTGAACACAATAAATGCTTGAAGAATAAATGTATGACAATTATTGGGGCATCGATTTCTTGGAGTCCTCTCGAAAATGCGGGTGATTTGTGTGCAATTATGGTAAGTAAGGTTGAGGGGCTTGACAATTGCAGCAACATGGGTAGGTAGGATATATGTTTAGGTTTCTCATAGCGATCGAAATGGTATGTAATCGACTGCGCTGATCTTGGGGCTATCATCGAGGGTTCGTACCACGTTGGTGACTTGCGCTTCACGACACTCGGGAGGATTCAAAACATCCCCGAGACCGGATTCGCTTGTGGGAAGGGGTCCGCCTCGGCGTGACAACGTAAGTGATTCGAAGATGTATTAAATTTTACGGCTAACTCTTTTTGCTCTTGCATGCTTATAGTCAGCATGCCTAGAAAATATTTGGCGTGCTCAAGTCCGAGCTGAACGCGTCGGGCTTCCCTGTGGAATCCATGGAGTTCAAACTGATTGCCATGCTTCATGGACGGTCTACCGGAAAAACGCAGCAAGCTTATTCAACTCGAGCATTTGCCACGTCATTAGTTAACTTGTGCTCGTCTAAAATTGACTATCATGCTGACGGTCACCAGCAGACCATGGACGCCCATCTCAGGTAGGGCGAAAATATCCCGGGTGGTCACTGCGACCAGCTCCTGACCGACGAGGACTTGTGGGGCCTGTTGGATCAGCGCATCCAATGCATTGTCCGTCGGTAGGTAGCTGTTGCTTTCCTCCCAGTCCCCGCACAAGATTTTGTCGCGGTCTTCCTCCTTAGTGTCGGGGTCGTGTATCTAACTGGCCGACGTAGGAGCGAGAACTATAGCGATAATTCCAAATGTAACTTGATATATTCTGAGTACTTCTCTCTTAAGAAGGAAAAACACGACTGAGCCTCTTCCCTACGGTCTCCCCCACGACCTAGAAGCTCCTTACCTGTCCACAATTTTTTCCCACGCAGCGGTCCACAGCGAGATACCTCCTCATTCCCTTCATCCCAGTCCCACTCTAGACGTGGAACGCCGACGTCTGCTCCTCTTGCCCTTGCTTGTAGGATGTATCCCGTTGACCCTGTAGTGAGCAGACCTTCTGGATGCAGTCCACACGGAAGGTGAATCCACCATCTAGCTGTAGACCGTGACAATTTGATTGAGGCCGCCGCGGTGCTCGAGGAGATCGACGAGAATAAATATTGGCTGGACGTTACGGGTAGACCGCTAGCACGGGATCGCATAGTCCACTCGGAGAAGGTCGAGCTCGTCCACTTGGATCCAGAGTCTACCCGATTCTACGATGTCTTCCGGAGGTGCAAGGACGCAATCGTTTTCGGCAGCGAGGAGCCTGCGATGCCGACATGCTGAAAATATTACGATGAAGATTGGCCATCCGCGCTGAAATGGCCCAGCTTGCTCAATTGGCAAGGTAAACAACCTACGGTAATTAGTCTATGAGTGAAAATAGTCTGAGCTCAAAAATAGTCTAAGTCAGACAATTAACTATTCACTCAAATTCCAGCATTCATAAATAATCTGGGCATGCATGTTCACAATTAATCTTACTTGAGCTGCGTGGAAGTCGCCAATTAACACAGCTGGGTTCGAGTCTCCATTACACTTTCCTTTAATAACAAATGTTTTTGCTGTTAGTGGTTCTGGAAGTGCCAACCAGGTGCAAACATCTATACGCCACAATTATTCATATATAAGTGGGTCTGATGTTACCTCCGCTTCAGTGGTAGGGGTGAAGGACTGGATGGTAGCGTGCCAAAACATTCCCTCTCTGTTTGCTACGTCGTCATATTCAGTTTTCCAGCCTGATTTCAACCATGCCAACCAACAAGAACTGTTCCATGTGGAAGATGCGGCTAACCTGTTGGTTCCATTCATCGCTGTCCACAGTGCTTCTGTCACATGCCTTTTGTGGTCGCCCTACAGGAACAGAAGGCTTTGGATAACCTGTGGTGTGTCCGGTGTGTGACCGTAGTGACCAAACTACCCGAAGTGAAGCAGATAACAGAGATACCATCACGCTGTCGGACGGTGAATCGGACGTTGAGCCTGACCCCCACACGAAGCCTATATTCTCAGCCACGCCAATTGTCGCGCCACACACGGCCCGTGAGTAGTATCGCCCATTGCCGAAAAGCTGTACACTGGATGAAAGAGTACGAGGTGAGCAACGGGAACAAAGGCATGTTTGCTAAATCTGTGAATAAGTTCCCTGCTATCTTTAACTCGGCTACCCGAGCAGCTAACTTGGCCAAGGCACTAGATTGATGGAATAAGCGGTATCGCATTCAAAAGGCAGAGCATGGCTCGGTCTCTATTTCCGCCCGTCGGGGTGGCGGAGGACAGCGTGTCAGCACCAAAGCCAGTGGTGGACGAGGGAGACCTAGGGGCTCCTGAGTAGAGTGGCTATACCCGCTGCTTCTAGACGAGTTCGATAGACTCCGAAAGCTCGGGGTGAAATTTGACCCGGCGTTGCTGCTACAACTTGCAAAACAGATCCTCAGAGACAGCACAAGTACCTACAATGCCAGGAGTGTTGAAACAAGAGGCGCCCTAATCATTGATAAGATCACTCCACGGTGGGTTCTATCGTTCATGGAGGCGCATCGGATTGTTATCAGGGCCCAAACATGGAAGCACTCAGTGAGGCAAAACATCTTGTATATCGATAAAGAAGTGGTATTCCATTTTGGTGAGTTGCAGCGAGGTTTTGCCGACGGATCGCTCGACGAAAATGTAATTGAGAATATTGCGAAACCCACTTCGTCATAGACTTCGACAACGGCAAGACGCTAGGCTTTTTTGGCGACAAGACTGTCAAATATGCCGATGTTGTATCTGGAGGTGAAGGAATGGCAATGGCCACCCTTGTATCCGGAGGCCCAAGCGCGCGTGTACACCCGCAATGATGTTTTTATGAACTCTGAGGGGAATTATCCTATTCGCGGTGTTCCTGACAGCATTCCTGGTGTATGCTATCGGTCAAGCAGTAAGGGGTGGAGGACACAGAAGCTCTGTCGAGAGTATCTGAAAGAGAGGCGAGTGGTGCGTGGAGACGTGTACGGGCGAAAGCATTTTTTTTCTAGACAACTGCTACGGCCATCTGGATGAGGATGGATATAGCGCTGAACTTGACGCTATCAATTCTGATCTCAAGTATTTCCCACCAAACGCGACAGATCTCTGCCAACCAACAAACTCGTTCGTAAGATAAAGGACGCATGGAAGGTCAAGCGGAACGAAAAGAAGATGGAATTGATCAAAGCGAGTTGTTGGCAAAATAAGATTAGGAAGGATGGTGCGCGCTCGGGAAGGCTTCAAAACCCAGGGAAAAAGTTTTTCTTGCAACTTGCTGCCGATGCGGTCAAAGCCGTCAACCACCAAAAGGACAAGAATGGTATATCTTACGCACGTAAGGCAATGATACGTTGCGGTTTGTTGCTCGGAATCGATGGATCTTTGCATGTTAAGCAACTCAGCCCGCATCTTCAAGTTATCATTGAGCACTTCGAAGGTGAGCCTGTGAATGTGAAGCAGACCTTAACGTGATTAATCTAAAGATTAATAAAAAGTTAAATGCTGGTTGATTTTAGCTCAGTCGTTTGTGCCGCGTCTACCCATGATGAATGCTGGCGGTTCGAGTCCCCGCGAGCTCTCCCTTTTTGGAGCACATTATTTCTGAGTTCATAAATAGTTTTATCCAGTAAATAGTTTGAGTCAGACTAATTAATGTAAACGAAAACAAAAACCACCACACAAAATAATCTCAAGTCAGACTAATTACCGTAGATAGTGTAGTTGCGCTAGCGAGTCAATGAGTGATTAAGAGAAGCTCGCAGCTATCCAAACCGGCTTGCTCCTTACAAACAGTAGGCGAGATAGCAAAACTCCAATACAGTCTATATTCCGTCTCCACTTCACTGGTTGTTATTCATTGGAATGCTTGGCCTTGTCGTCGTGAACAATAACATAGCCGAAGCCATGATGATACCCACGTACCAGTACGTGACGTAGCACCAGACATAGTATCGCATGATCTAGTAGCTGTAGAACAGTGTGAAGATATAGCCGTTTTGACACTCGGGTGTAGAACTAGTCGATGCGTACCACTACTGGTACCACCTGCCCATCGTAGCTGGTACGGCAACTTGCCGGTACCAGCTCCATCGCAACACGTCCCGCGGCAATCTCCCACCTCCACTTACTCGGTTAGCTGCAGAATGGAACATATACGGAACGGATCAGCTTTTTGAACAGACTCGACTTTCACCATGATCAGATACAAGATCGGTAAATGAAAAGTCATGACGGCAGCACGGTGATCGTTGTGCTGGCACTTTGGAGAAGACCGATGGAAGGGCTTAGCTCATTGTGCAACATGGAGGGCCTGGCAGAGGTACCCCACGAGGATACAGCTCGGGTCGGCGCCCCTCCCGGCTTCGTACACCGCCACCCCAGGGGCCAAGCACGTCAAGAGCGGACTACTTGCTTTTACCGTGGCTTTAAGTACACTCGAGCATGGACATCCTCGCGCAAGATTGCATATCGGTGCTCCAGATTTCGCAGTGGCTGCCGTGGCACGCTCGAGGTCACAATCGCTACCATGGGCTTCTCTGCGGTGCGACCGCATACCTGTCGTGATGCTGTTCCTGCCCCTGGCAGAATTGAAGACGTTACGATGGAAATGATGAGCCGAGCTGATGCTTTGGCAATTGAGCAAGTTGCTCGTCCTGCTCGTCAGATTTGGGAGGCTCTACGTGATGAGTTTTATGGTGCTGCCAACGGCAACGTGGTAAGGGGGCTGTCGGAGTTGCAAGTGCAACGCCGCATTTATCGGGCGAGACACCAACACTTTAGTGGAGACGTTCATGGTGCGATTGAAATTCCACCGCTCTCGTTAGCTCTTGATGAGGCTGTTTCCTTCTTTCAGTTTCATTACGTGACGATTAACAACGAAAACCTTAACAAGCCGACACGGTTATTAGGCTGGGCGCATCCATCGCTGGTTAATCTGCTGCGCTACCACGGGACTACACTGTTTGTGGATGGCACATTCCATTGCGTGCCGCGTGGATACAAACAATGCGTTATCTTTATGGTGCATGATCGAGCATCAGGGATTTTCGTACCTGTCTACTATGTGCTAAGTACTTCTCGATCTGGTGATTCGTACTGGGACATGCTGCACTTCGTGGTTCAAAGCACTGACCAGCAGCTGGAGCCTGCCGAAGTTGTCTGCGACTTGAGACTGGACTACTCAACGCGGTCAATACACAATTCCCTAATGCCCTTGTGGTAGGCTGCTTGTTCCATCTGAAGCAGGCGCTCAGACGCGCCATGAAGCGTTTTGCCATCCCTGAACAAGAGTGCAGCATAGCGATGACGAGTGGGGTCCTCGATATGCTAACCGTCATCGAGCACGGTCTGGTTGACCTGTGCACGAAGTGGGTAAAGCGCGAGATTAGACAACGCTGCAGTGTTGCTGGAATTCAGTACTCAAAGGCAAAATGGCGTGGCTTCTGGGAATATTTCCGTCGGACCTGGATGGAGCAGTACGATGTGGAAGTGTGGAATGTTGCAGGACTGGACAATGAGCTTGTTGCGCGCACTAATAATCCGCTGGAAAGGTTCAACAGAGAGCTTAACAGTCGCTTTCCAAGTCCTCGACCAAGCATGGCAACATTTGTTGGTGTCATCAAGACACTCTCGTCCGAGTATGTTCACCGGCTTGCTGATGTACCGCGCGGGCGTGTGCGCCGAACAACACGCGAGAAAATTGAGCTACCTGTACCCGTCGAGATCCCCGAGGACATCGCTGACGACTCCGACGACGACGAACCGCTGGCTGTTGAGGTCGCATCCGATAGCTCCTCGGACGAAGCGTCTCCAGAAAGCACCGAAACGAGTACTTGTCAGTCTCTCTAGGTCCTAGAAGCCCCCGCTTTGCTGGTATACCACGATGGCAGGGCCTGCATGTAGGAGCTAGATGTAAGCTGAGCGAACTAGAACTCCAGACTTTGTTTTAAAACTAACCGCCTTCTTCGATTGCTGCGACTCACTCACTGGCATCTATCAGCCATTGCAACTCAGCACCCTTCACTATGGCAGCATTACATGGGTAGGTCAGTGAAAATGATACAGGAAACATTGTCTTCTTGCTTACCTCTGTAATACCCTGTTCAGGAACCTGATCACAGCCGGAGTGGGTTGGTCTGTTCAAAGACCTGATCCGTTCCGTATATGATCCCAAAAAAATCTACCACTTACTCGGTTTGAGATGGCAAAAGGACCTTGGGTGGCGGAGAAGCCGCCGCCATACAACAAATGTATCAAGATGGTAAGAGGGCGATTGCGATTGTTGATGAGACAACTAAATCGAGCGCCTCCGTATACAATGTCCTAAAGCAAAGACCCCAGGACCCGCCGCCACCAGCGAGATTTCTGTGGCCACCCATGCCTTCACAACTACAGATGCCGTCGATGTTACCACAGCCAAGCTGAAGAAGCCGAAGAAGCCTTCGAAGCCATCGGCAAAAGCTCCTCCAAGCAACGACGACATCTCACAGATGCGAGAAGCGGATGCATTCAAGCAAAAAAATATGAAGAAGTCAGGCTTGAGTCGCCACTTCCTCAACACGGCCATCAAGTGGCTTCAAATTCAGAATAAAATGAAACAAATTATGACATTTGTTTCATTTTTTATTAATAGTATTATGCCAAGATATATAATTGTTTTATTTTTGAGCTAGTGGTAGTACTTAAGTGGGACTCACCTTACTAGCAGCGTACAGTACATTTTCAAAATATTTATGACATTCATTTTAAATCTGATACTTATTAGAAACACACAGGATCTGATTCGACAACAATTACTTTTCCACAATAGTAATTTCATTACTATTACTATTTACCAAGGGTAGCTATCTGTTCTAGCCATCCGTTGGCCAATCAACGCCGCACAAACTCCAAGAAGTTCCAAGATCAACATGCCGGTGCTGACAACCAACGCTAGCGGAGCCGTGCCGCCCGTTGTGGGCGTGCTGGGCGGCGGCCAGCTTGGCCGCATGATGGCCAACGCGGCTCACCGCCTTGGCCTGCAGGTTTTGGTGCTGGACCCGCTGGGAGCCGACTCTCCGGCTGGCCAGACGGGCCTCAAGGCTGTGGCCGGTAGCTTCACCAAGGAGGAGGATATTGCCAAGCTGGCCGAGCAATGCGACGTGCTGACGGTGGAGATTGAGCACGTGAACGCGGCCTTCCTGCAGCAATTGCAGGACAAGAAGGAGGCCAACGTGCAGGGCGTACACCCGGCGCCGGCCACCATCGCACTCATCCAGGACAAGTACCAACAGAAACAGTTCTTCACGCAGGTGCAGGGCGTCGACGTGGCCCCGTACGAGATCGTCACGTCGCTCCAGGCCGCTCGCCAGGTGGGCGAAAGGTTCGGCTACCCGTACATGCTCAAGTCTCGTCGCTTCGCGTACGACGGCAAGGGCAACGCCGTGGTCAAGAGCGAGAAGGACCTTGTGGACGCCTTCGAGAAGCTCGGGGCCAAACTGCTGGCAAAGGAGGGCGCTGGCGTTGATTTGAAGGAGCTGGCCGAGGAAGAGGCCAAGCTGTACGCTGAGAAATGGGTGCCGTTCGTCAAGGAGCTGGCCGTGATGGTCGTCAAGGGCGCTGAGGGCGACGTCCGCGCCTACCCCGTCGTGGAGACTACTCAGCGTGACAGTATTTGCGACACCGTGCTGGCCCCGGCCCAGATCCCTGTGGACGTGGCCAAGCGGGCCGGCGAGATGGCTGAGGCTGCTGTGGCCCAGCTGGATGGCCGCGGCATCTACGGCGTGGAGCTGTTCCTGACTGCCACTGGGGAAGTGCTGCTGAACGAGATTGCCCCGCGCCCGCACAACTCGGGCCACTACACGATCGAGGCCTGCGAGACCGACCAGTTCGAGCAGCACCTGCGGGCCATCACCGGCCTGCCGCTGGGCAGCTGTGCGCTGCGCGTGCCGGCCGCGCTCATGGTGAACGTGCTGGGCGACGCTACGTCGTCCGAGGACGTGAGCTTCTCGCTGCTCCGCAACAGCCTGAACATCCCTGGTGCTGCTGCTCACTTCTACGGTAAGGCCGGTGTGCGTCCGGGCCGCAAGCTCGGCCACGTGACTATCACGGCACCCAGCCTTGAGGAGCTGTCCAAGCGTGCGACGGCCCTCTCCCCGGAAGCGGCCAAGAACTCTGGCCTGCTGAAACAGGAGCGCAAACCGCTTGTTGGCATTGTTATGGGCTCGGACTCGGACTTGCCCAGCATGGCCGCCGCGGCCGACATGCTGGAGAAGTTCGGCGTGCCTTACGAGCTTACCATCGTGTCGGCCCACCGCACGCCCGCACGTATGTACGAGTACGCGCAGAATGCGGCCGGCCGTGGCCTCAAGGTCATCATCGCCGGTGCCGGTGGCGCTGCCCACCTGCCCGGCATGATCGCTGCATTGACGCCGCTGCCGGTTGTTGGTGTCCCTGTCAAGACGTCGACACTTAACGGCGAGGACTCGCTGCTCAGCATCGTGCAGATGCCGCGCGGTGTGCCCGTGGCCACCGTGGCCATCGGCAACTCGACGAACGCCGGTCTGCTGGCCGTGCGCATCCTCGGCGCCGGGGACTCGTCACTTATCGACGCCATGGCGACGTTCCTGGACACGCAGAAGCGCGAGGTGGACGACAAGATCGAGAAGATGGCCGCCAGCGGCTGGAAGGAATACCTGCAGAACATGAAGAAGCACTAGAGTCAACTTGAACAAGCAGGGGTTTCTGTATTTCCTTGAGGCCTGCAGTTGTTGCATTCTATCTACTTGTTCTTCTTGAGTTTGAGACTCTTAAGCTGGTTCTTCAGCGTCTTCGGGGTCTGTTTGTTCTGCCGCACAGGAGTTTGTTCAACCTCCGCGCCGTGGGCCGCGACGTTGCGCCAGTAGATGAGACCGGCCAAGCTCACAGCGAACATGGTGAAGCTCAAGAACCAGATCAGGAAGCCCAGGGCCGCGTCGTAGAACTCGGCCGTGAGCACAGGGAACTGGCCCATACCGCGTAAGAACGGCGCCACGTTCTCCTTGCTCAGCTCGTCGCCCAGTCGGAATCCGCCGAGGTTGGGCGGCGCACTGGGGTCCGGTAGAACGTTCAACGAGGCCGCGTCCAATCCCTCTGACGTGAGGCTAGCGGGGATCGACACATTCACGCGCTGTAGCATCCACGTGATGGCCTTAAAGATACCGAGAGACGTCGCCGTCTGCTTCATCAACAGCTGCGTGGCTGCCAACAGCGCACACACCGGCGCTAGATACTGCAGCGCGATGATCGGCACGTAGTTGAACTGCAGACGCACCTTGTTCTGCAGCAACGCACCGTCCACGTAGCCCGGACGGCTGACAAGTGAGGACATGACTTCACGAGGCTCTAAGAGGAAGTACTGGAGGTGCGTACGGAAGCAGACCAAGCGTACCAAGCAGGCCACGAACACGACGTAGACGCGAAGTGTGTGGAACTGTGACTCGGTGAGACTGTACCATTTCCAGACGTCCGACGTGTGGGCAAGGCCGAGCACTTCGCTCTGTAGACAATCACGGGCCAATGCACGTGGAGAGCACTTGACCAGCTCTGACGGGACTAATACGTTACTGGACAGACGCGGCACCCACAGCGCGCAGATGAGCACAGGGAACAACATGTTGAGGTGCAGGAACAGCTTCATCACGGCCGACGTTTGCTTGTCCTTGATCATCTCCGAGTACATGCGGGCGAACCGGAATGATGGTAGGAATGTTGTGCATGTGAAGATGCCGGCGAGTAGAGCAAAGGTGAAGAAGAGAGAGACGCGGGCCATCTCGGCCAGCGGCGCAATGTTGACGAAGTCTGCATCCACGAAGCCCAAAGCGCGGAGTACAATCTCCATACGCTGGCCAGCCAACTGGGCCGCCAGCTCCAGGTCAAAGTCGAACATTCCCTTGGGCGAGAGGATGATGAAGCCCGACACAATGAGGCCGATGAACCCGACGGCCAGGCCCAGTCGAGCCTCGTAGCCAGCCCAGCCTTGGGCGAAGTTGAGCTGCAACGGGAACCACAGGGCCACGAGCATGGCCGACATCAGGCCGTACGTGGCCACGTCCACCTTGTCATCGACGTCGTCGGCCGTGGGGCTGAACCACGGGGTCGAGAAGCTCACGACGCTGCCGATCCAGCAGCCGACGGAGGCCGACGAGACCAGCACCACCAGCATCTCGTACAGCTCGAAGAACAGCGTCTGGCTGAACACGCCAGGCTCCGTCTTGGCCACACGCACGTAGAACTTGTCCATCTTCTCGGCCGCGCTGAGCGGCTGGCCGGCCGGCGTCTTGCCGCTTTTGCCGCCCTTGGTCAGCGGCTGGCCGTTTAGCGTCGCGATGAGCTCGTCCTCTGGAGGCAGGAAGAAGGTAAGGCCATTGACTAGCCATGTGGCCAGACTGAAGTGCGAGCGGAGCCGCAGCTGCACGAAGGCCAGCAGGATGCCGGCCAGGAATTCCGGTGGGAACAGCGCCATCGAGAGGATCCTACGGAGTGTGGACACCGATAAAGGAGCTACTGGCAGTTGTAGACACGTCAGTCGCAACTTTGTGTTGTGTAGAGTACACCATATAGTGTACCCCTTCCACAACTTTACGCAGTAAAAGTCATCAAGGCGTAGCAAGCCAATGGTCATGGAGGTTCGCGTCCGGCGCTTGTCGGCCACGACGGAGGACGAGCCGATGGAGCTGGCAGATGAGTCGCAGGTGGTGGTGGTGACGCCTGGCCAGGTGATCAGCACGGATACAGGAGCATTTCTGCGTGGCCACGGAACATACTTGAGCGGACGCAACGAGCTGGTGGCCAGCGTGGCCGGCGTCGTGGAGAAGGTGAACCAGCTTATCACGGTGCGGCCGCTCGTCTCGCGGTACATTGGTGAAGTGGGCGACATCGTGGTGGGCCGTGTGACGGAAGTGGCCAGCAAGCGCTGGAAGGTGGACGTGAACGGCCAGCAGGACGCCAGCCTCATGCTCAGCTCCGTGACGTTACCAGGCGGCGCCCAGCGCCGGCGCACGTACGCCGATCAACTGCAAATGCGAGCCTTCTTCGTAGAGAACGACCTCATCTCGGCCGAGATCCAGGAGGTCCGCTACGACGGCTCACTCAGTCTGCACACGCGCAGTCTGCGCTACGGCAAGCTGGAGAACGGCCAGTTCGTGGCCGTGGCGGCCCCGCTAGTAAAGAGGATGAAGCAGCACATGGCCACTCTCCCAGGCATCGGCATCGACGTGATTCTCGGCACCAACGGATATATTTGGGTGTCCAGGAGCATGGCCGAGCTCGGAGGTGATGACACGACCAGCAACATGGAGACACGAGTCGAAGTGCTCACGGCCAAGAGACAGCTACACGCGGCCACACCCATGAGCGTGGAGGACCGTCGGAAGATCGCACGTGTCTCGCAGGCACTACTGAAGCTTAATGAACAGTTCCGGATGATCACACCCGACAGTATCATGGCCACGTACGAACTGTTAGAAGCGCAAGGTAAATAGATGAATGAACAAGGTTGCATTACTACGAGTTGATTCTTCTTTGGTATTTTTTCTTTGCGGCCTGTAAACATAACCTATTTATTTTAAGATGGTCAACTCTCTGATACAGCCAAATTAACTACTGCAAAGTCCGACATTCAAAATTTCGCGAAGTTAAGAACTAAGGTATCTGATAATTCACCATTCCTATCTTTCTGTTTTGCTGTAACAAGTGCAGACCTACTTGCTTTGGCCACAAAGTCGCGCTTCGCCCTGAAATTTAACAAAACAAATTCACTTTTGGTGCATCTCCTGCGCCTGCTTCGCAGCTGCTACATCCTACAACTCGGAAGCATGGTACTGTAGCAAAACAAAATAGATTGATTGTCACCGGAGCAGCCAAACAAAAACATTTCAGACGCGCATAAAGTCATACATTTGTAGTCTTTATGAATTTGTGGAACGTGCGGATATACTTTGTATTACGTAGTAAGAAGTTCTTAGGTGAGTTCTTACTAAGAAAAAGATTAAAGGAAAAACTCCAATCGGGAACTCGATTTGAAAAAGTATTTTCAATCGGTTTACTTTTAAAACAGGATCATGATGACGGACAGGTTTCACTTCCCGAGGTTTGTCGGGACATCGTAGTTGTGACGTGTAGACAATTGCGTTGGGCCTTAACGCTAGCTTGTATAGTGATATTTGGCTTAGTTCAACTTGAAACTTCGCTTCCGCTCGAGGTGTGACCATACGCCCATCTTCCACCCACCGAAATCCTTGCCGCAAACGAAGATGCTCTTCGGCCATCATTATTTCGTGTATGAGCGAAAATAGTGGTAGGGCAATCGGTCTCGCGGTTTTAGCAACATCACATTGGCATACCCTCTCTAGTTTTTACTTGATCTCTCGCGCCCATACCGAGAGGGCCCACGAAGCGAAGTCTTAAAATACAAAATTTGTAAAAGAAAACACCAGCGAATTCGATGAAATAGACATTTTTCCATGGTTGTCCACTTCGATAATGCCTTGCTACTATGAAATGTATCCTCACCGGGCGACAACGACCTGAGTCAGTGAAGCTGTATTGAAGAGAAGCTGCGGCAAGGTTATGAGCGCAGCGATCAGCACAGCGAAGCTGATCGCTTCTTTCATACTGGAATGGCGACGATTTTTTTTTTAGCAGTCTGTGGCTTCTTGACACGCGTTCTGTGCTGTGGGCTTACCATTCCGGCCAGTTATTCTTCTGCCCAGTGAGTGATTCACACAAGGCTCACCAAGCTAGACAAATGCAACCGGTATCCGTACATTGCTGCATCGGGTCCCTCAGCCCCTTACGCTAAACATCGTTATTTTTGAAGATCACCCAAGCTGAAGGTTTTTTTTTTTTGAAGGTCTCCTAATGCTACCTGTAACTCAGTCGACATTGTTCAACGATATAATGTCTGTGATGCCCTACAGGATACTATGTATCCCCCACGGTATAATATTAATGCATATCCACGAAACGTATTTCTACTGCACACCAAACACAGTGACGCCTACAGTCGGATTCCGTACAATAACCACAGTAAAAACCAAAACCCGGTGGGTATGGAGACGCCTACAGTACCAACTACAAACTGGTCCCGTGCAGCAAGCACGCTAAACGACTGATCCAGTGTCGTTCAAGGAGTATGGTGATGATCACATTCGACGAGTACGACGACCATTTTGGATTTAGTACTGAGGTTACCTGCGCCAACGACTGATATCTAGAACACACGATCGTTCTTCATCCGATTAGACGATGAGAAATTCCAATCAATTAGCGTATTGCAAGTACCCCGACGACAACGATTTGGTGCCGTGCCACGAGTGTGTTTACCAATCCGGTCCCGAACACCGAGTACGATGCCGACTACAATCTAGACCAGTGTTGAGCGAGATGACGGGAACAGTCTACTCGTGTACAACGAGTAGGGTGATGACGACTGTCCAGCCCCGTGTAATGCGTACGGCAGATGACGAGTGTAGTGAAATCTTACAACACGATAAAGCGAAGCCAATGTGCATATAGGAAAACACCGATAAACTAACCTATGCTGAGTAGTGCCGTTCTTAACACCCCGCTGCGCGGTAGTGTGTACTACTATTGTACTGGCGAGATGAATGCACACACAAAATACTGTTTTATCGATAACTTCATGAATATTGACCTCCCACCTGTAAAACCACCAAAAATAAAGCGGAGGTAGTGCAGATTGCAAATATGCTGTAAACAACCGCATCAGCTTAAGTTTTCAGGTCGATGTACGTGAAACAACTGGTGCGGTAAGGGGATCGACATGGACGGACTGAGGTGATATCTTCGCGACATAAACACCAATTAGCACAGGCGCATCGCGAGTGTAAGGCGAAGTCTTCGGAAAAAATAAGCTACTCACACAAATCTGCTCTAAACATGTGTACAACTGCTGCAGCTACACTTTAAGCAGTCCGATTTTGGGCATGAATTGATGGATTTTGCTTGGAGGTCAAGGCCTAAAAGTACACCTAACATTTGCAATAGTAAAACCAAGTACAAATACGAGCACACCAGAGAAAACAGAAATCCCCCTAACGTTAACGTTAGACCAGTTCGTACGAGTGCGAAATACTAGTAAAAAAAATGTGCAGATCGCAGGTCTCGCTGAAGAAGCTAACGAAAGCGTTAAGCTTCAGAAAAAAAAATATGCGTGTCTCCATATACCAATGCATAGGCTCATCTACGGGTCCGTAACTAAAACTTCGTGTACTTCATTAATCTCATAGCTAACCTAACATAAATAGAGTTTCTCTGACCCGCTAAACAAAATGTGGGATTATGACTCCTTCCAGCATGCCCACGCGCTCCAATATGGTCTAAAGGTAATGATGAGAGACGCCAATGGCGCAGTTCGCTGTCATTTCTCCGGTCAAACTTCACACAGGAACCCGTTACCATTCCACTACGAAGGAGAGTTTTCTGTACTAAACTTTGAGATTCGTGAGTCTATGGGAACGATCTGCTAGGGAGAATCTTTTCCAATGTGGAAGACGAAGACACCCCAGTGGCAGTCGCACTGGTGTTGTCTACGGAATCATATCTGTGGTTCATGTGACTTTTACCAGAATCTATGCAAAAGTGTTGGACAAGCAGGACTTCAAAACAAAATTTAATGACGGCTGGGACGCACTTGAGGAGGTTGCAAACCCAAAAACGTTTAAGCATCTCCGTAAGTTTTGCTGTGGTTTAGCAACAATATTTGCTAACACGGCATCGGTAGAGTCTCACTACTCCATATTAAAATGGTAATGGAACGACCGTTGTACCGCTATGACTTCACTGGCATTAGAAGGAATATTACAGGCGAAGCAGTTCGACGAACTTAACAATCTAAACAACCAAGGTAGCTAAATACCGTGCCGGAAAAAGATTCTGGATGTGCCTGAATTAAGCTAATATGACACAATTCGGCATATGCCGATTCTAAGAACGTCTGTTCTACTGCCACGATTTTGATACGCATCCGGCATCCAGACAGAATTGAAGGCCGCTCCGTTCGTACGCATTCTGGATCACCAAGACGGCGACTGCTCGTAGGCTTGCCCTACTCATCAGAATTGCGAATGATCGATACAAGAATCGTTCCTTGTGGTATCGTTCGATTACTTTTTCTTAGTGACGCTGTAGTCATGCTGTAACGTACACCGATGGATTGCAGTCTCTGCTTAACTTCCGAGGGATATTCTTGTCGAGGAGGGGAAGCAGCGAGTATATCTCGGAGATCTCCGCTGCAAAGCAAACAACGTCACTCTCTGCGTTTTTTTTTGTCCTGTCCCTAATCTTTGTACGCCACAAGCTCATTGTAAACCAGGTGAATAAAGTTGCAATCTTCATATCTGATATATATCGTACACATTACAGAGTTAAAAGCGTTTCTTGCTGTTTTGTAATTTTTAGCAGCGAGAATTGCCTTTACCGCGGCAAAAAATCTTTGACTCGAATTAGAACTGGCAATCGGATCCTATGGAACAAGCGCAATCTCCGCTTTATTTTTAGCGCTCCCAGCTCAGCTGCTATAATGAACCATTATTAGTAGATATCACGTCTTCAGTCTGGGCCATCACCCCCACCACAATCAGCAGTAGCAGTGAGCCCAACATGCGCACGCAGTTCTGATCTAATCTAAATGTGCGACGTAGTAACAAATCCGTAATGCTTTGCGCATAAATTATCCTTGATTGTTTTTTTGCAAGCAGCGTCGTATTCGGCAAATTTGTCTCTACATAGACGAATTTTCTATAATTTGATGCTCCGTAGATTATCCGCCCCACTGGGACTCCCAGTGGATCAACACGTGGCAGTTTATCCCATTAACCAAACCAGTAGGATATTATTTTCTACTACATGTAATAATTATAATAAAAGAATTTGAAGAAGTACATAACTCCACCTTCTGGCTTTCTTGTATACCTCTTATAGTTTCCATTGTTATTTATTAATGGAGAATAAGCCTTTTGAGACAGATTATATACGTACAAGTATTGAAATTGAAGTGAAAAAACTCTCGAACATTCGCAGTTGTCGACTTCGTAGCCTAGTGCTGTATGCCGAAGGCGTATGTTTGGGTTATCGTTGACTTTTTCAACGTGTCTTCAGATCACTGAGCAACCCCAAGAGTTTATCGATGTGTCCGGGATTCTAACCGAAACTTGGACATCTCATTGTCGAGCGTCTTGCATGATACTCGTGACACACCAGGGTTGTAATGAATGGCCCTGTTAGTCCCGTTGTTTGTGGAAACACAGCGAACATTCCAAGTTTTAAAAAAAGATGAAAGCAAGAAATTCAAAATCTCTTTTGATGTGCGTGTGATGTTGAACTATATTGATTTAAGGGAGAAATAGTGCTTTCTTGGAAATCCCAGCGCACGGGAGATCAAGAAATTGTCTGGTATTCTCAGTCGATATATCAACGACCGGTATAATACCATTTGCAGTTTGATATTTAGAATGACCACTTGAGGTGAGTGAGACATTTCGACATATGATGGAGAAACTTCACCTCTGCCAAACAATTAAGATATTTCTATTTTAGACACCACATCACGTCCAGTAAATATTTTACTCTACGTATAATTTCAGTCATAGAAGATGGTGAAGCTAGTCTGCGTGTTTGTTGGTCTGGAGGAAAGCTTGTTCTTTGTGAATATCGATGCGAATGAGTCGGTGGGTTACCTGAAGGATGCGATC